GTGATGGGCCTGCCTGCTGTAGGTGGACAAGGGGTAAGTCAAAGAGCAGGACCTGCTGAGGGGCCTAGATTGAGTGTGGAACCAGGTGTGTGGCCTGGTTCAAGCAGGGAGTACCAGGTACGGTACGTCCTGGTGTGGGGTCTGGAGATGACCGAGGGTACCATGGTACTGATGAGGCTGTGCTGGGTTCTGATCCCGAATCATGAGTGCTACCGGTGCGTACTTTGAGGAGGTCCTAGCTAGCCAGTCTCATAAACTTGTGGTACATGCATTGGTAGCTACTGGTACTGTACTGTACCGGTAGCCAACACAAAAAACACCGATTGGCCCTCAACATGTACTATGTATTGCATCAAAAGTTTTATGTGCACTGCCACCGTTGATTTATTGGATCCATTGTGACGTCGTTTTCGCGACTGAGTCACTCATTTTCATGACTAAAGCCCCGATCTCACAACTCTCTCATGCATGCCTCACCCTCATTCGAGTGGTGTCCCTCGTCCACAAAGATGATGATCAGCAATGTTTGCGCTCGTACTGCTACTACAACATCCAGAGGATATGCTTTGAGAGGAGTACCAGTAGTGTCAGCTGCAGCTCATAGCAATGGCTCGTCTCTAGTGCTGGGTACCCGTGCGATTGCAAGGCTAAGTCCTTTGGGTCCAAGACCTGTCTCCTCTGCCACACCAGAACCATCCTCCTTTCCCTTTCAGAGCCAACGAACGAGTGGACGAAAACAGAAACGTTTGAACCGTCAAAGGCTGCGACGAATACGAGCGCTTGCTGTCACGGAAAATGGTGAAAGAAAATCTGCTTCAGAAGTTGACAGTGATGATGACGATGATGACGATGAAGTGGATGATCGGACTTGGAGGACCATTCTCTTTCCTCCCGTTCATGACAATGGTGATGGCGACATTCCACGAGAAGAGTCCATGCCATGGTCCAAGTCACCGCAAGAGTTTTTCGGCAGGTTCCGTCGCACGTGGGTGGCATATAGGGGTACATGGGATGGATTCTTTTCTCACGTAGCGCGGTCTACACAGGATGAATCAGCGCTGGTAGAAGCGCCGGGTCCCCAAAAGACACCACAAGAACGCGCCAAGGAAGTATCCGACAATGTCCAACAGAATCTCGAATTCAGCCGTGAAAAAGGACAAAACTTGAAGACATTTGTCCAAGAACAAACGGGTATTCACACCATGGACGATTTCAAAGCTTTGACCAAAGAATTTTTGACGGTGGCAACCCTCATGGTGGGTGAATTCATGCGAGAGTACCGCAAGGGTCGAGATGAAGAGGTGGAGAAGATGAACACTGAGTATTTTCAAGATCTAGATGAGGAAGAAAATGAAGAGAAGAAGGATGATGGGGAGGAAGCAAGCAAAACAAGGAAACGAAGACGTCCAAAACGGAGGATTCCCGGGCTGTTGAGTTAGTCTGAACCTGTAGAAGCTATTGGAATAATTATTTACTAACTTGCTTGCTGGCTACCGTATTAATCGTTAACAATGCACTTTGCAGCAGCAATTCTCGATTCTATTACTACATGTACTAGTATGCATCATGTCAAGGTCTTATTGGAGTAGAGGTATGACATATCATGCGGGCAGAACTCTAACTTTGATTTCACTCCTTATTACTAGTAAATTCACTGTCGTTTATTTTTCTGTCGGCAACAGCCGTATTTCATTTGCCTGTGGTTTGTCGATGGCCCCTTGCTTGTAGAGTGCCGAGAGCGCCTTTTTGAAGGTAGACTTGGAGACTCCTGGAAATTGTTGGGCAATGTCTGCAGGACTGGATTTGTCGCCTAATGGAAAGACACCTTGATCGGATTCCGCCAAAACGTCAAGAATTTGCTGCCCTACATCTCTGGCCTTGGCTCTGCCACCAAACGCTCGCAAGGCAATGGCCATTTTCCCATCCGTGTCTCGAATGCGTTCAATATAGGCCGGCAGAACTTCTCCCAGTACAACTTCCAAAGTATCCCGACTGTCACGGAAATAGGCCAGCTCTTGTTGTGTAATGAGTCCAACTCCCAATATGGGCCATTCGGCATCTTCCGGTGGCAAATCTTGTGGAGCATGACTCCCAGCCACCACGACATGGACACTGGCTCCCAGCGGACCAAAGCTCACAACTTCGACCAGCACTTTTTCACCGGGATTGAATTTTGGGAGATCCTCATCGTCAATAATTTCATTATGATTAGTATAATCCAAATCGTCTCGTCTTTGAGACGAATAGAGGCGATGCAGGGATGGAGTCAAAGCTGGCGGTTCTTGGTGGCAGTAGTGGTTGGATGGATATGGATAGGAAGTGCTCGTCCAAGCAGTGATGGGTCTTCTCACCGGCGTTCTCGTGTTCGGTACAAACGCCACAGCTGTCCGTATAGGACGATGCACCGCTATCAGTCGGATCCACATTGTCATCCACAAAAAGTACATGACAACTTTGGTAAGATCTGAAAGGCCTCAGAAAATGAATGAGGATCAAAGGAGTGTTGTGTGGAAGATCGAATGGCTCCAAAGCTTTAGCCCTAACCCTTAATAAGGAGCTTAATGTTGGACAGCTCACGCTGGCTTAACAACTTGAACTTCAACTTGAAGTCAATTCTTTTTAAGTCATCACGTTCAAGTTGGTACATCAAAGACGTTGAAGACTGGAGACGGCATTGAAGTACACTTTTTGACTGACCCAAACGTTTAACACACAAGCCAAACAGTCACGTAGAGGCCAATTGCGAAACATAGCTTCAACTTGAAGATCTGTTCTTCCGAGGCAAGCCGACTAATAAGTCATCAACATTCATCATTGAAGTTTCCGACAAAAGACACATTGAAGTATGTTGCCGAGCGACCCAGCGGCTCACCAGCCAAAAGCAGCCTCATGACTGGGAGAGCTGACCCGAACCCATCGCCTGAAACCGAACAGCCACTGATGATGAAGCAGCTCGTTGCCTCACGATTCCAGACACGCACCTGTACCAGCAATTGCCATGCCAGTCGTACCGACAGCGAGCCCCACCATGTTGGCTTGACCACCCACTACCGGTACTAGTAGCTAGGCTACCAGTACGGGCTAGCTAGCCACAGCAGCTACATGTTCGGTGGCTAGCTAGCTAGTATCTACCTACCATAGCGAACTAATGTAAGGTAGCCAGCTAGCTGCAGTAGCTAGCCGGAATAAGGTAAAAGTACAGTCTCTAGTCGTAATATGTTAGAATGATGATGTAGTGGGAAGCAGGAAGCGATCTAGGCAGCGCTGGCCAATCTGAGTTGATGTCCACGGAAGACGGACAGATTGAGCGAGAAGAATGTGTAGTCTTCCTTGCTCAAGATGGCTCGTTGCTTGGAGGCAATCGCCCGGTTCATCCAGTTAATGCACTGGTGTGTCTCCTTGCCATCGCTCATGTAGGCATGGATGCAGGCCATGTTATTCAAAAGAGCCAATAGGAGAACAAAGACTTCTTTAAAGTCGGACTTGGCCCACGCGCTCTTGAGGACCATGTATGCCTCGCGGTAGAATTTCAAGGCCATGGTGAGATCGGCCGATTTGCCGTTGCGGACGCCTTCGCGGTGGTAAGACAAGCCGAGGTTGTACAGGAGGATGGAAGCGACTCGTGTCTTGCTTTGTTGAGAGGTAAAGTCCATGCAGTCGTCACTGTCAAGAGCGGGGAAGTCAAAGGCGCGGTCGTACACCATCAACAAGGAAGTCTCGTCGTTGAGGCTACTGGCAGCAGAGGGGAGGTCAGAGGCAGTGACAGTAATGCTGCGAATGGGCACGTAGTCGCCCTTTTTGGGCATTGCCATGCGTCGTCGTTTCTTCTTGGGTGGCTCCTCGGAGGTGACGGGTCGAGAGGGGACAGTCTTTTCTTGCTGGAAGCATCGTTCCAGACTCTTGATGGCGGCGCGCAGCTTGGTTGTGGTGGCGTCGTGGTTGCCTTGGCACAGGTACGACACTGCCTCATTGTTCAGGTCCAGGATGGTGGTGGTGGGGCTGATCATGATGAATGAGGGTATTTCGAATTGTGGATGTTGTGGATTGTGAGAGGATAGCGAAGAGGTTCCAATTTTGGAGGAAGGAGAGGAGCGTTACTGATCACGAGGGCTAACTTGAAGGTGGTGGGCCTTTAATTCAAGAGTTGACTTCAAGTTCAACGAAGAAAGTAGCAGCAACTCCAAAAGGTAAACATCCTTGCTCGCGCGCAATTTTAATTCCATTATGGAAAAACAAAGCGGAAGGCGCCTTCGCTGTCTCTTCGCTTTGGGGTGCGATGAGAGGCTTATTGAAGTTTGCCATAGATCGTGTGAAACAGCGAGGGCAGGGGCTACCTTGCAGTTCGCTTTTTAAAATATCTCACAAAGAGTTCCACCGTGCACTGAGCTATTTTATTAAAATAGCTAGTTACGTACTGAAGTATGTAGAGTACGGTAGTTAGTTCTGCTGGCTTGGTTGGTGCTTTGTGGCTTTGTGACTGGCGGTTATGCTTGCTTGGTTGACTGCTGCTTGATGTTTCTCACCAGCATATCTCACTGTGACCACTGATTATCCCACCAAGTTGCACAAGTAAAGCTACCACTTAATAAAATACGGAATCCAGAGTCAAGTGGAGCTTCCTTTTCTCTTTCCTTTTACATATTCGCCACTGGTCCCTATGCTATACCTATACTTTCCACGTACAAACGAAGTACTGAATACACGTAACAATAACTTGATCGATCAGGAGAGTCACAGGCAAGCCACTGGCTAGCGAAGCCTTCGGATTGAAGTGACCACCTGATTTATACAGCCAGTATCACCTTCAAGTTTGCAAGTTCCACTGTGGTTACAGGCTGCTTTGTGCTTGCTTATCACTCCCGTCTCCCGTCTCCCGTTATCTAGCTAGCTAGCCCCTTATTTTAGTAGTTTCTTCAAGCGTCTCCTCGTTCATGGTAGATGGGTGTACTCGAGGACTGAGTATTGGATATATCTAAGGGTAGATGAGGTTTGCTATATAATCACTATTTATTACCAAAAACAACCGTTTTCCCTCATCCACAGCATCAACAGAGCTATCAACACTCTTTGCCTGATTTTGGCTGGTTGTAGTTGCCAGTCGACGTTACAACACGCACGGTCACGCCAGCAAAAGCAGCACCATCACAAGTAAGTAGCTCACAAGTAAGTCTCGTTTTCAGTCATCTCAGTCAATTGCACGAGATTTATTGGAAAGACTGATGATGAACATCAATACCGGATCATAGCAACACGTGCCTCTGCGAAGCTGCGCGCCAGCCTAAATCACTGATCGACATTCTCCCTTTTCTCTTCGCATTCGCTACAGGATTCTCCGGCAGAATCCCAAATGATCTCATAAAATCTAAACATTCCGAGCTAAGCTCACAATACTACATCATCCTTCTCCTACTAGGAGTTTTTTTTGCAAACACTTACTTGAAAACAACTTGAAAACACCCTGTATCAACATGGCACCAAAGACCATCATTCAGCTTAATGAGGATGCCATCTTCTTCCTTAAAGATGGCGACCACCAGAGAACCACATCCACTTTGCTCACAGCCTTCACTTTTTTGGATTCCGTGACAACGATGTCCGCCCAACACGCACAACTGGATCCTGCGTTCGGTTTCAAGAGGAAGCTTCCTCCTATTGCCAGTTTTGAGATTCCTGAAACACCCGTACCTCATGGGTACCATGTCGGAAACGACTTGTTCACGTACTACAACCGAGCCTTGTCGGTTCCGGCTTGCATGGGCGACATGTCCTATGAGTCCAACACCAGGCTCTCGGCCATCATTCAGTACAACCTGGGGTTGGCTTATCATCGTGCGGGCATCCAAGAGAACAGCACAGCGCAGCTTTCCAAGGCCTTGCAGCTGTATGAAGGAGCCTACTTCACCATTGAACGAGTCAAGGACCGGGTGCACATGGAAGACGTATTTGTCTTGCTCTTGGGAATCTTCTTCAACATGACGCACATCCACTGCAACAGCTTCAATCTTACCGAATGCAATCACTGCATGGACTGGATGAAGATTGCATTGGCTTCCAGGGAATGTGTGACTCTGCGGGAAGATGATTACCTCTTCTTCTCCACCAACATTTCGCTTTTGTCTATTCAAATGCCTCACTTGGCACCGGCGGCGTAAGCTGATACTCCTGCTTCTCCCTTCCTCTCCTCCAGTTTCCCGTTTCATTGAGCTACTTAGTACATCTCCTTGTTATACATCTAATGCATGCGATTATCCACACAACTTTCTGATCTGATGACTTCTGACACATTCATAAGTTCATTAGTCTTTACGTCTTTGAAAGACATCATCACACTCCTGAAAGACAGATAAGACTACATCTCAGCAGCTCTTCATCTTCCAATCGTCCCTGGACGTCGCCAACAGCACAACTCTTCTACACACGCAGACACCAAGGTTGCAAGGCAAAGGTTCGGCTTCCACCACCATCGCCCGAAGGCTCATCGGATCCAAATCTGCCTCAACCCGGAGAAGTCGCCGCACGAGGAAGAACCTAAAAGCCAGTGCTAGCGAAAGACCATATATATGCATGTTCTTTCTAACTTTCCGAAGAATGTGAGCTTTCTGGTGGATTTCTAAGGCCTCTAATAAAAAAGCTGCCGCGAGGAAACCCTTTATTTATTGCGAAGAACAATCCTTAAAGAACTCTAATTCAATGCAAAATTAAGAAGCCGAAGCCTTTCTTTACAATTCATCTGCAGAAACTTTGCAGTGCTGTCTTTTAGTGCCAGAATCCGGGGGATCCTATTGCCCTCACGTCCATTCTTTGAGCAAAATTTTTTAGAGGCCCTGATGGTGAGAAGTGTGAAGGCAGGCATGTGGAAGGAGTTGAGTCACTCAGAAGAACACAGTCAAAGAAAATAGACTCTTCTACAGGATTCCATCATCGCTTGCTAATTGCCCGAGAGAGCTGGCTATAGCTATAGGTAGCTCTATTACCGGAATAGAGACAACAGAGCAACGCTCTGGTTATGCTACTGGTAAGCAACAACAGCTGGCAACAAGCTTCTACTTAGCCACACAGCCCACAGTACCGGTAACCACTGGTGCAGAAGCAAGAGAACCAACCATTGCACCTTCTCTTCCGTTCTATTCTCCGCTCCCTCGTGAAAATTCCTACCCCATGCCTTCTCTTTCCTTGAGGACAGGCCAGCTATTGCCTCGCCTCCTGTCTGGTCGTCGGTTGCTTAGATTGGCTGCAAACTGGGTCCTGGTCCCAAAGAGACCCAGAGAAATTTTTTGTTGGCAGCCAATATCAAGATGGCCCCAATTACTGGCTAGCTACCGGTAGCATATCGTAGGCAGGGAGCTGTCAAGCAAGGATGTTTCACCTCGCAAACTATTTTAAAATCATGCAGTTGACGCCCAAATATTTGCTTTTGAACGAGTCACTTGGTCTGGCGATTTGGAACTTGTGAGTAACACGAGCTCATGCATATGTTGACGTGTCTCTCGGCTCGTGCCAATTTCTGTAATCTGCACCTTACTTGATGACCTTATAAATCACTTGTTTACGTTAATATTTAGAGAGGGTTTCCCAATGACCCTACCGGTAAGAAAGAGATTCTTTTCCTTCTTCTCGTTGATGTTTGGAGTAAGAAGTTTGAGCAGTCATTCCATGTAAAATGCAGTACCTGGTACCGTACCGTACCGGAAATATTATTATTATGCTTGTGGCTTGTGAGTACTCAGTACTTTGTAGACTGTAGACAGCTCTGTAGACTACTGTACTCGAGCACAGTTTAGTGCAGTCACGCAGTCGCGTACATGTAGATAAAATAAAGAAATAATGTACATTGAGGAACAGCAATTGCGAGAAATAGATGAACCTTTGAACTTTTCGATGTGATGGAAGCACGGAAGCACGGGCAGATGAAGATGCAGATGAAGATGAGCCTTCATCTGGGGGTTTCGTTATTCACCCCATGATCTACATGCTTAGGTATAAGCTAGCTACTCTAGAGTAATAGTTCGGTCTGTCTCGGACTTGCTTCGACTGCTTGAAGTTGAACCCATAAACACAGCATGCTTCAACCAGCCATGAGAGCTACTCCTCTTTCTTGAACGAGCTAGCTTGTAGCTACTAGTAGCTGGCTGCCAGACACAGCCAGTTTTCAACTGGCTTCGTTGATTGACTTGACTCGAACGTCCCTTGACTTGGTCGTTTAAAAGTAATACTGGCTGTGTTGCTTTTGTTTCAATGATTGCTTTTGTTTGATTCCGCCGAACAATGAATGAACAGCAGGCAGGTATCAGGAGCTCTCCTCTGCAACCCGTATTCGGTAGTGGGGGTTCGATGCCCTCGAGCCCTCGAATGATTCAGTCAGCATTGCTACCGGTAGCATGCAGCCCTACAACAGCTGTCACGTAGAGAGCACAGCTAGTATATTTTCCATGTGCTCCCGTTGTCTAAAACCGCATGGAAGGAGGAGTCTTGTCTTTGCCGGCCAACCGCATAGCGCTTGGCGGTCATTACAAGATTACAAGAAACATTGTTAGCTACAAGTCAGTCTTCTCTCGAACAAATAATATAGCTAAACGCCAACGATTCTCTGTTTGCGTTCTTCCTTTTTCTCTTGACAGTGATGATGGCAACAACAGGCCCATATGTTGTTGCTTCTTGCATTCATTCATATTGCTTACGTACATACGTACATTTAATAACATGTTACAGCCGAAAGGCAGCTGCCATGACATACCGCTTTTGAGCACTTTCTTGCATCTGCCGAATGGTTTGTTGATTGGAGGTTTCCATGTCGGGAAGGGCAAAAAAAGAGTCCAACCTCCCACCGGAAAAGACACAGCCCGTTTGGAACTTGGAATGCACCGATTTGGGCAACAGCGGTCGGCAAAAGGAAAGCAACAAGTTCGACAAGAGACCACCGTGAAAGTACTTGAGTTGTCGTGTGACAAATGGATAGACGGCATAAATATCGGTGCAGAGTCTCTTGGAGACATTGAAATCCAGATTGGCCGCAGCCGTAATTCCATCGCACTCGACAATGATGGTGATCCCTCGTCGGATGCTTGCAAAATCAGAATTGAACGCCTGCAGCATGTAGTAGGTTCCACAAATGTGTTTTCGCCATCCATCATCCGTTCTCAATAGCGCTTGATCGTAGCCTTGCAAGTCGCCGACCAAGACATATCCACCCGATGGTCTGTGATAGGCAAAGGATAGGATCAAGCGTGGCATCATGGTGACAAAGTGATGTAATGCGACGGTGGCATCACTGGAAGTGTTTCGAATGTCAAATTCTTGTCGAAGGCCCTGTAAGGACGATGCTCGATCCACGGCGGCTTCGACATTGCCTTGTTCCACAATCGCAAGCTCGGCACACTCAAAATCGGAAAGGTTATCCAGTTCGGCACAATTTTCAATGGCGGCTTTGACTGCCTGTGCCCATTCTCGTTCTTGATCGGTGATGGCCATCATCCCGGCATCATGATTTTCAGCCTCTTCTTGTTGTGCGGGTACTATGGCTGCTGCAGCCTGGACGATGGCCCGATTCACGTCAGCCTCTGCTTCATTTCGTTCCACCCCGTTCCTTCCATCATTTTCCTCTACTCCTTCTGCAGCCTCAAAGTTCATGGTTGATACAGTTCTGTGGCTGGTGCTTGCTTGCAGGTGGCGAAATGAAAATTAAATGTGATGGGTCTGTCTGTGTTGATGCTTGGTCGCGCAATCACGAAGGGCAGAGGACGGATGACGTGCTGGGTGGTATGAAGTCTGGGGGTCAAGAGCTGTGCATGACGTGGTGTGTGGTGTGACTCGACGGCACTCAACAACCGTGACTTCCGTTAGAAATCGCTGGATCATCTTTCGTGGGCCACGTCCTTTTTTTTTGGTGATCCAATTATAAATTGCAAGGATGCATACGTGTACCGTACGGTCCGGTACGGTATAACAACAAGGCAACAAGGTAACAAGGTAACAACAGAGCTCAGCAGAACTTGAAGCAACCCCACAAAGACAACACACAAACAAACAAACAAACGAAAGAAAGAAGACGACCATGCTAGCGGGTGGTTTAGAAGTGATCTATTGGCGAGTCCTATTGGACGTCTTTGCCTGGTTTGGTTTTTCCTACTCGATTTGGACGTCTCCCACACTCAAGAATGCTTTGGTTCTAGCAATCACCGTAGGCGTAATTGTGGCGACGAGTGGAAGTACCAGTCGGTGGACCCTGACGTTCCCCATGGCACCCATCATTGTCCTGCAGATCCTCCGAAGGCAAGGATCCAAATTAAGGGCATCCAGAATTCTGTGTTACACAAGTCTCCTCATGGTGCTCATGTCCATCGCGGCTTCCATCTTGTTTCCGCCACTACAACTGCCACAGGTGCAATCAGGAGGTCCCTATGATGTGGGCGCCGTCAGCTTTTTTCTTCCCATCCAACAGGAAGAAACAGACTCTTGCGACATGTTCAATCATACGCATGTTCCGGTAAGACTGCTCTATCCGACCATCCGCAGCAATGACAGCAGCGACAAAACTACGCCCTACTTGTCTCCCTCATTGGCCATGGAGTTCCTACAAGAGAGCATGAAAGCCGCAGCACCGCCACCCCTAAAACCGTATGACTGGTTGATGCATCACTGGTTGCTGACGGAATTGCCCATTCAAAAGCACGCCGCATTGGTGCCACAAACAACAAAATTCCCCTTGGTCGTCTATTCACATGGTCTCATGGGAAATGCCGACATTTACTCGTACCAGGCCATGTCGTTGGCGACTCAAGGTATGCTCGTGTTGATGATCAATCACCTCGATGGAAGTGCCCCCGTGGCGGAACACCACGACGGATCCAAAATTACATTTGACTATGACACACTTCAATTGTGGAAGGATGGAAAGAAAAAGGAATACACTCGTGAGCGACAACGACAAACCGAATGGAGAGCCAGAGAACTGGTGGGTGCTACCAAAACAATCCTCACTTTGAATAATAATGATGACAACAACAGTATCGACCAGGCCGCTCTGTGGAGGACGGACGCTCCGCATTCCTTGATCCAATCCTTCGAGGGCAGAATTGACAAGGACCGAATCTTCTTCATGGGACACTCGTTTGGGGGTGCCACGGCCCTTACGGCGGCCTTTCGGCAACCGGACCTTTTGGAACGGGGTGGAGGTGTCATTGCCCACGAACCCGCAGTGGATTGGGTACCAGACGGTCCTCGCCGATCGCTCTTGCCGGAAGATCGACTCCAAGGCTTGGCGCACAATTACACGGGCGGAGTAGCCGGATGGGAATTTGAAACCACAGGCGGCGACGACGCGTCGTTGTCGTTGCACTCGCTGAACCTGCTCTTTTTGTTCTCGGGACAATGGAGAGAATTGAACTGGGGTGAGAGTCACATTTTGGAAGAAATGTTCGCCAAAGGTCGTCTCGGGACACCCGACCAAGGAGTGGTCGACTTTGGTGTCATTGATCAGGCGAACCACAATGAATTCTCCGACATGTGCATGATCACGCCACTGTGGCTGGCACGAGGCTCTGGTGTGACAGGGGCGCGCAATCCGCTCGAGACGGCTCATGAAATCGAAAAGCGAACGTGGAAGTTCATTTCCTCGGTGATCTCGTCATCCCCAGCAACAGCAACCACCACAGGAACGCAAACGGAATCAGCGCAAGAATCGTGAACCCCTTTCCGGTACACAAGAAAGGCTCAGGGTTGTCTTCATCATGTTGACCCGTAGCACGTCAAGCTAAATTGAAAGCAACCAAAGCCGGCGGATTGTACTGCAATCAAATTCACTTTTAAAATGAAACTTATCATCAATGCCGTCCTGCCCCTCGAACACTGTTGAATGCAAATTGAAGAGTTTTCCATCAACCCTTGCATCCCTCTTTCTTTTCTTTCGGTCAAAGCACGGTTGACTTCATCCATTACTACGTAGGTTTCGAATATTGCTTCGCCGGACAATGCGTGCCATAGAGAGCATGGGGGCGGGTCCCTGCGGCAGAAGCTGGCACCTGGATACAGCTCCTTGAGCCCATCAGTTTCAGGTACAGAACGAAATCAACTAAAGCCGGTGGATTGTAGTGTAATCGTTACTTCATCAAATTCAATTTTAAAATGAAAACTTATCATCAATGCCGTCCTGCCCCTCGAATGCTGTTGAATGCAGATTGAAGAGTTTCCATCAACCCTTGCTTCCCTCCCTCTTTTCTTTTGGTCAAAACACGGTTGATCTCATCCATTACCACGTAGGTTTCAAATATTGCTTCGGCAGAAAGTTCATGCCAAAGCGCATGTGGGCTGTCCCTACGACAGAAGCTGGCACCTGGATACAGCTCCTTGAGCCGATCAGTTTCAGGTACATCAGTCAATTCCGAGACAATGAAATCTACAACTGGACTGGAAAACTGTCCCAAAAGAGTCAAGTTCCATGTTGGTCCATAGAGTTCTGGAATATCCAGGCCAATTTCCACAAACACAACGGACCAAAGCAAAGCAACTGTTGTTCCAAAAGTCTTGAAAAATAGCGGAATCCCTTGCCGTGCTGGCAAAGGCAAGCCTTCCTGCTCCACCACAACTTTGAGTGCAGGCATGTATTGCTCCCGGAAGAACTCAAGCTCGCGGTCATCCAGAGCCACGGGAGCAAGAGTTTCGCTAACCAAACACTCACAGATATCAATGGAAAGGCTTACAGAGCAGGCAAAAGCCAATATGGCCATTACGGTCTGTTCGTATTGTCGAGATACGCGATTCGCGAGGCGATCAGATAAGTATGTGTCCCATTGTGCTGGTGGTTGTCTCAAGGGAAGGTAAACAAAATCATCCACAATCTCAACAATATTATTGGACGAGGAGATGTCCAAGTCACTGGCTGTAAGGAATACCGAAGACGAAGTGTTTACACTTTTGATGAGAATCTGGTAGGCATTGTTTGCAAGAATGCTACGGTAGGGAGGGGGAAGCGTCAGGAGAGTGAACAGTAAGGTGATAATGTGAAACAGTCTGACAGCACGATCCCTGCCTATTTGCACATACCCTACACCCATGACGTCGTATCTAATGCCAGTCCTGGTCAAGCTCCCGTGAAACCAGGAAGATGCCGATGTGATCCCCACGGCAGTCTTCATCAAAGCTGCTTGTTCTTCTAGCGAGATGAACCAATCCTGGTAGTCACATACTCTTAGAGCAGCCGAGTAATAGGCAACATTGGATGCATAGTTGCATCTCTGTTGGACCTCATAGGTACGAAACCCAGAACCAAGTATGGCTGTTTTGTTCTGGTCACTCTCGTAATAAATGTCGACGTTGCCCCAAGGATCTTCGTAGCTAATCCCCCCAGCTAGCCACACATCGTAATAGGCAGCAAATGATGCATCCTGGGCCACAATGAGATCTGTATCATTCCATTTGTTGAAACATCGCAACAGTCTCTCATAACGGTTGGATGAATAATCCTTGCCTTCAAAATATTGGGACAGATCGTCCAGCATGAGCCTAGCCTCACCGACTGCATCTGCAACCTTCAGCAACAAAATGGAAGCACCAATCGAAAGCAACAGATATCGAGACATCGTTATTTTGCAATGAACCGCTTTGTGCAGCAATCCCCTTCCCCACCAAGTGCTGTCCGCTCATTGAATGCACGGCTTTCTCGCGGAAATTGTGAGAGGAGCGTTGAAGATGAGAGCAAAGATACCGGTACGGGGAGATCAACTTTTAAACTTGGTTGCGTGCGTACGGAACCGGAGGGCTCTGCCATCGCCACTAGGTTTTGACTTTGCTTGGGAACGAAGGGATCTGTTACTCGAGTCATTTGACTCCCGCGCTTGCCCTGGAATCATAAGTAAATCATTACGGCAGTTGGTCAGCGCATTAGAGGCAAGACCCCACCGATGTCCATTGTGCCTTGGATCCTTAGATCAATCTTGCAGAAGCCATTTCAGATTCTCTCATTATTTATTTGTCACAGTGTCTCTCGGTGTGTGCGAGACAAGGCAAGAGAAGAGAGCAAAAATCTCACAATAACCACACGTCGATTGGTTCAATCATCAGCAATCTTTCAACATGTCACGGTCAGTTACTCCATCTAGCACCAATCAAGGTTCTAACAATAAGAAATCCGCACGCACTATTTCCTCTAAGAATCACCTTTACTCCGGAATGGATGGTGTCAACGAATCCGTCGCGCAGCCCTTGATGGATGGAGCTGCACGAAACAAAAAGGAGGCAAAGGAGGCGGATCTGAAATCGCTGGTAGCGTCAGTTCGAATGCAGATGACATCTTCTACCTTCTTTGGGGAAACATACTGGAATCCTCGATTGCATCCGCAGAAGACGGATAACGTGATTACTGACAAGGACGTAGTGTGCAACAATGCCGCTTCGACTGACTCCTGTTGTCTAGGGAACGGATGCTACCTTGACATGATTAAGGAGAACTCTCGAAAGATCTTCGCTCTGTACGTGGAGAAAGCCCGCAAGAAGGCTCGTGTGGCCAATAATTGTGGCCAGAAGCCGGTGAAGGATCTTGAGCTTGTAAAACAACTGTTCTCAAAATTGATTGTGAAGCGCGTCCGCGATCGAGGGGGGCGATTTCTTATCCTTCAGACAGTGGGCGACAAACACGAATTCGCAGCAGGGCGCAATGGTGACTGGATTGAGATCGCCGACATTGACGCTATCAACAAAGCAAAGAACGACCTGACGGCGGCTATGGAGCAAGAAGACGATTGGGAATCACACAAGAACGTTGCCGAGCTAACAATTGAACCGAACGAAGAAGAAGAAGAAGAAGAAGAAGAAGAAAGAGATGACTGTCACCACCACGGAGAAACTAGTGGGGGACCAAATTGGGAAACTTCAGGGTATGTACGGGTGGGCTGATGTTCGTTGTTCCTAATACCGATATTATCCTCTCACACTTTACTCACGCTGTGTAATCAAAAGAGATTGATCCGTGGGATGTTGGGAAGGCGGTCTCAATCATAACTATCCCTAGTTTCCCCGAAGCTGATACGGACAGCGGTCCCGGTGGCATCGCCATAGATCCACACTCCATTGAATTGCTCAATACGAACCCAGGAGTGGGGGGAAACACGTGGGTACTCCCGAAGCGCGGAAAGCCGTCGAAACGAGCATCCTGTCCACCGACGATCTTCGAAACATCTTTGTGGCCTCAGTCGCGACAGCCCAACGATGGTCTCCTAACTCTTGATGCTACCAAGCGAGGGTTCCAGCCTCCAATGTTGGCCTTAGAGGCTGCAACTCGTGGTCTGCAGAAGAAACGAGGATCCTGTCCCCCATGGCTCATGTCGCCTTCAGTCGCACAAATGGCCCAGAAGAAACGGCAAAAGCAGAGCCACCAACCTTGTGACACCGCTGAAACGCCCAACGCCATCACTTTCGTTCCAGATGACGGCAAGAATATGGAATTGCCCACGTCTCCTCCACCAATCATTCGTGTGGCGTCGAGCTCAGGCAATCCCGGCTACTCGCTAGGCATGGAGAGCTTGAGCTTGGGAAGTTACCCGAATCCTACGGCTGTCGTATCTCCCACCAATATTTGCGTCAATGCCTCTTCGACCAGTCCCGAGGCGAACGGACGCATTGCGTTCCAGCGGTTTCGTGGCATTTCGCCTGACGCGGATTCGCACGGCGGCACGAGCATCAAGGAAATTGGAGGCTACGGCCTCAAAAGCCTCGGTAAAATGGAAATTGACGAGGAGGGAGGTGGAGCCACAATGGAGGATTTGGAAATGATTGCCAATCTCTTCGGTTCGTGAACCTCGGGTTTGTCTGGCGTCCATGGCTCCTGCGAATGTCAAGCAAAGCTCGGTCTGACAGATGTGCCATAGGAGACCTCATCATAGCTACCGTACCGGTACTAGCTAGTATGCATACGTATTCATTACACGAAGGGTTCACTACCTAGCTAGACATTCTCTCACATAAAAAAGATGCCCCCGAACTCAATTCTCTCCGTTGCTTAGAGGAAACCACGGGAGAAAAGCCTCCGTCGTTCCAATAGCTACTAGGAAGCATCAACAGGTGGCCCGATCGTGAATGCATCAGATGAATGCACAACACATTCAGTTGGTTTCAGAAAAGAGTGAAACGGGGAGTGTGGATGTCACTCCCAACACCCAGTCGTCCTCGCTTCCCAAGCCTGTGAACGATGAGCTGTTCGCCTTGCGCTCGATCAAACCCACAATTTCTGCAAATTTGGGTTAAGGGTATCGTACGGTTGGGCTCCCTCCACCATCCAAACGGTTCATTGGTGTTCTCTTCTGAGCTGTTGTGGAAACTCAATGATGATCTTCGGATTTGCCTGAGCTTGTGCCCGACAGCCAATGCACAATGGACTGAGAGAGCAGTAAAGGTAGTAGATTGTCAAACGAGTTATCAGCACCAAGCATCAACCATGGGCCAAGGAGCTTCAACACCCGCAGAACCGCCTCAACCGGTAAGATTTCCTGATTGAATTCTTGTTGCTACATTTTGTTGTCTGGGCATCCGACAATTCATGCATTTTCCCATGTGGACTCTTTTCCTCTCACACTCTTCACTGCCTGCCCTTTTCTCGGTGTATGGTACAGAAAAAGAAAAAGGTGGGGATCAAGTCAGGCAAGCCAATCTGCTGCTGCTGCCCTGATACGAAGAAACCCCGTGATGAATGTGTCGTGTTCAAAGGCGAGGAACATCCTGATTGTATCAAGCTGATAGAAGCGCACAAAGCATGTCTTCGAGCTGAGGGATTTGACGTGAAATAAGACGATAATAAGCAAGATGACGATGAGGTACCGGTAAACAGCAGCTGAACTATAATGGATTAAATCATTCATCTACATGAATTGTGTGTAAAGTTGATTTGAGATGCGCCCCGGCAGGCCAATAGCAACTCTTTGTAGCTTTCAGATGCTGCCATCTGGTATCATTCACATTCAATTTTGCTTCTTCCAAGTGCTTGGCGCGGTTATCTGAATCTAGCAAGTGTAGATTATTGTTTGCGGTGTTGGGCATGCTTATCAAAAGAGGCCAGAGTAGATTGTTGCTCAAAAGTGGTGATTCTGCAGTGTTATTTTCACTGGTATACCTTCCATTGGAGTAGTATTGTCTGTGACAGCCACTTGACCCCTGCAGCTGGAGTTTCGATGGCCGCAGGCAGCCCAGGCAAGCTAGTTCTGTGCGTTTCTTGAATTCCACCAGCACGGGGCATAGTTTGGTGAGCGCATCGCTCAAATCCAACTCCTTCTTGGCACTCGTGATGATAACCTTGTCGCTGACAAACATCAGAAAGACAATCGAAGGTTGAGCCAGTCAATAAATAAGTCTTGGGAAGAGTTTAGGTTCATGACTTGTAAAGGCCGATGGGGTACAGACAAGTCCCTCTAACCTGGGAAACCCACAATCTATACTTCCTGATGAATACCGGATGATCGAGAACGGTGAGAGTGAGACACTTTATTGTTCACTCCTCAGTGCACTGTTACGCACCAACGCTTTCAAATTCGACCTACCTGGTACCGTATGCCAACTTAGTGGATATTCCAATAGGAGCTTTGATGATCCCGATCCCGGCTTTGCTTGCACGAATGCAATTCCACAACCTCCCCTTCCTTTGGATGATGCGCAGTTGTTACGCATTGCTTATTGTAGTTTTGTTGGCTGATTTCAAAGCGATACCCTTGAAAGTCACCATTGGGTGCGTACCATCTCTGTAAGGATGAGCTTGCGTCGCATCGGCGTAGCACAATGCTGTTGTCACGGCGTTGAAAACACCTGTTATGCCCACTTCCGAGGCGAATCAAGATTTCATCTCCTCCATCCAAATAATCAAAAGCAAATTGTTGCCGTATCTCCTTGTCTTTGCACTTGGTGATATAAATTGAGTCCTGAGCACACCTCTGCCTCCTCAGTCCATGCCAGCAACTTTGGGATCGGTAGTTGTACACCATGCACCACTTTCCTGTGAAGCAAAAATTTCAAGACGCAGGGTTAGAGTTTCGACCTTCGATTGCTACAAATGGTCAGCCAGGAGCAAAAGACACACGCATTACATACTTTCTCGCGTCTCTTCTTGCCACCTATAGGATTGTTCCCAGTACAGCTTTAAGCGAAAGTTTCTGGATGTATATGGCAGCGCTGGTCTGTCGCTAGGAGCTAGAACACTGTCCTTGCTGATGCAATAGTCTTGCTGGCTGGAATCTCTTGATCCCCCAGAACAGCCAAACACTGGTTGATTCCGACCCCTCTCAAAGCAAACAAGAGACCCACGACAGTCACTATTACTATCACAGTCTCCAGAACACAGACCAAGGGGGTATTTGTCTGATCCAAGATGATCAAAAATGTTGTTGCCAATTTTTTGAATCTTCGGGAATGCCTTCGTGCCATCTCTTGGTACATCGGCATTATTTTCTTCGGTCGCAGGGACCTGTGGAACGTAGACTCTTGATAAAATGTCACTTTCTCGGACACAATAGTCGGAATAACTGCTATCCGTCTCGCCTCCGCTACATCCTGGGACCGCCGTGAAGCGATCCTTCTGGAAACACACCAACCCCTTGGCGCACTGCATGTAGACGATAGGGCCAAGGTTTAGATTCTCTGGCTGACCTTTTCATTAAAAAGCATCATATCAATTCACACTTACATCATTGTCTGAGTCACAATCCCCAACACAACGGGCAAGAGGTACGCGCCATGGTGGGGGATTACTTCCAATGACATGAATACTCTGCAGCTTGCGAGCCTTATCGATTACAGCAACACTTGTGCCATTGGATAAATTCTTTGCTGGAAACTCATTGGCAGCAAGAGACGGCAACAAGCATATTAAAAGTGAAAGCAACGTCCTCTTCATACCATTGTCATGTGGCTGCATCAACTAGAACCAGGAGCAACAACAACAAAAAGAGGAAGAGGCAGAACAGTGACAACGTGACAACTCCCCCAAAGTTGGCTTCTCCTGGACAAAATCAGTCGTGGATACTTTTTTTCGTCCATGGTGCGTGGTGGCCACTTTGGGTGGATGCAGGCCTCTCTTGTTCATCGCAATCTAAAAGCTCCGCAAGCTATAGTAAGAGTTATGTTCCTATAGTGCATTCTCCATCATTCAAACACAATCAGATCTGGTGCGATGAGTCCTTGGATAGTCTTTCCGTATCAAGGCTCAATACTTATTCCAAAAGGATGTCTCGTGCTCATCACTTCTGGCTGCTTTGCAAGAATGGGTTTCAACAACTTCTCCAGCCTTGGGATGGTGAGCTTGTGTCATGCACTGTCTTGGATTACTGTGCTGGCTCAACTCAAATTTTGAGCCATCAAAACTTCCATTGGGGGCATACCATTGTTGATACTTGTTTTTCTCATCACAAGTTCGAAGGAAAATCTGAGTTGAGACGCGCTGAAAACAAAGGTTCCTTCCATCTCCCAGTTTGATTTGCACCAAGTTGCTTCCAAGCTTGACAAATCGAAAGTATTGGCGGTATTCGTCCTTGCATTTCGTGACGTACACTTGATCAGGCCGGCAAGCTCGACGTTGACGTCCATACCAGCACCTGCAAGAACAAAAAGAGTTAGATCCTCTTCGTGGGACCGAGAGGTCAAACCAAGCAATCTTTTCATTTTCAACGCACCTCCCGTCACCCGGGAGCCCCTTATAGTCAAATACGGCACACCCTGAGATAGAGAATGCAACAAGTTTCTGTGAGAAGGCACTATGCAATGTCGTTGCGCACCACTTTTCTTGCAAGCGTACACTTTCTCTCCCGGGTCTCTTCCTGCCAGTAGTATCCATCCTCCCAGTACAACTTGAGGCGGAACTTTGGACTTTGGCTTGTAGGAGAGTCAGTAGTCGGGCGATCGGTGGGGCGGGAGGTCGGACTCTTCGTTGGCGTGCCTGGGTTTGTTGGCGTAGTGGGCATGATTCCACCTCGAGGCAACACGCAGTAATCAGTTTTGCTTCCGTCATAACCATCGCACCCTCTTACTGGATCACCCCGTCCACGCTGCTGGCATACAAAGTCTCCTTCGCAATCCCTGTCCTTGTCGCACTGCAACAATAAGGTGTGGACGAGCAAACAGAGTTGGTGAAAACAGCACGAATCGAATCTTGCTCAAACCAACGAACAATATCCTTACATCACCCTCACAGAGACCCAGAGATCCCGGTGCCCATCGTCGGTTCCCAACAAGTTTGATTCGAGGATTGCCGGAGGGGGGCGTCGGAGTGGTGTATTTGGTGGGCTGTGGTGCAGGGGCTGGGGTTGGGCGTGCTGTTTGGGGAGGCCTTCTGGGGCGTATTCCTCTTTGATGCAATAACCCTTCAGATTTGCGTGATTGGAAAAAAGCCGAAACAAGTGTGAGAGAGTCTACATACAACAACAAACGCATTCTTGGCACCTTGGTTGCAGACACAAATCGCAAATTCACTTACGATTTGCTCTTGTCGTAATCCCCACCGATGCAATTGGGCACTGCTGTAAACGGTGGCTTGTGGAAACACACCATACCATCGCCACACTACACAAAAGGGGTCCGGACGTCAGAATCAATATAGCAACACTGAAAACGAGACGACGGCAACGCGCTTCGTTCAGCTTTCTGTGGGGGCATGTTGTCCACATACCTCGTCATCATTGTCGCAGTCTCCTTGGCATTCTTGCAGTGGTAGACTTCCCTTCGGTGGGCGCCCGTTGTTGCCAAGCAATTCGATGTGCTTCATCAAACGTCGCTCAGTTTGAGGTCCATCGCTGAGAGTTGTGTTGTCGTCTACGCCATGGGTCGGTGCACGCAATTGCGCTTCAGCTTTCGCAAGCAAGAAGAAAACTACAAGCAAAGAAAGCCGGAGGATCATGGCAACAGCTTCAATGAGCGGGAAGAAATAGGGATGCAAGAATGTATGAGTGAAAGGACCAAAGCATCAATCTGTCGCTCTTTTTCGGCGGAACGGCAGAAGTCAAGTGGGTTGATACATGCGTGATTCCAAAGTATGTGGTAGATACGAAACCAACTCCGTGTTTGGCCGAGGCACATGGAGGGTTGGTGTGTGCTGCTAGCTAACAGAGACAGAACGGATGGATGGAATACTAATAGCGACCAGTCCAAAGCTTGAGAGTGCGCCATTGGCTCGGAGACGCGGAACGTGCGGGAAACGACATTCCGCATTCTCGATTGCATGCTAGCTAGCGGATCCAACTGAGGCACTCTTACCGGTACTAGCTAGTACTACTAGTAGGAAACTGTCGTTCCCGTAGAGCTCCTGCTGATACCATCTAAACATTTTTATAAAATGGCCTTACAATGTTGTACCACGTATCACACATGTAGTCCGGCAAATGGATTGGCCGTCCTCCAAGATGCGCTCCAATACTACATTCGTCTCTCACGCCCGATACTTTGTGCTTACATTGGCGCAACAAAGAGACTTGTTTCTTCAATTGGCATTCTCAGTACTTGTTCCAAAAGGAAGTTTCTGATGCTGGCGCACGAGCTGCTTGGCAAGAATGAAGCTCCACCACTTCACCAGCCTTGGGATGATGCGCTGTCGTAATGCACTGGTTGTCGTAATCTCTCTGGCTGATTTCAAACCTGTCACCATCAAAGCTCCCATTTGGTGCATACCAGCGCTGAAGTGAGCTGTGTTCATCGCAGGTACGAAGGAAAATGGCCCGACGGTATCGTTCCAAACACTTGTTTGATCCGTTTCCGAGCTTGATGAGAACTTCGCCGTTGGATTTATCCACGAAGAGGAACCGCTGCCTGTCGTCATTGCCACACCTAGCAATGTAGAGCTGATTGGAACTGCATTCGAGGACTTGATCGCCATACCTGTACACGAGACCATGGAGCTCAGCTGTCAGTCGACGAAACCCATGCAATATCCGAGTCATAGATGCCATGAAACTTCTTACCAACATTTACCAGTCCCCGGGAATCCGTTGAAATCAAAGGTCATACACCACTTTCCTGGAGTGGTCCGAGAACGGGAACAGAAGGGCAGAGCTAACGTTAGATATATATAAATCAACCAGCAGCGCTTCCTGCAAGCATATAACTCACTCTCTCGAGTTTCCTGGAAACGAAACGTGGTTAGCCGTTCAAGCTGTCACTCCTTTCCTCTGTTTACTTAGTACCATGATGCTGCTGCCTCAAAATCAACGTACCTCCTGCCAGTAATATCCCTCCTCCCAATACAGCTTTGAGAGAAAGGTTGAGTGAGAGGTTGAACCGAGAACAGACCTACGAAGAATAAGGTCCCTAGTGCGCTCACCTTGATGCGAAACGTCCCAGGATCGGGCTGTTGACCGGGCGGGGCGACGCAATAATCGGTGCTCGAGCTATCAGATTCTCCACCCAAACATCCAGGGACAGCGTCATACCGAGATCGATGGAAACAATAGAGACCGTAGTCACACTGGCCACGGGCAGCGCAGGAATCACGGTTGCATGAGGTACATTTGAAACAATCGCATTACAGATGGCAGTTTCGGCCGACATACATCATTATCATCGTCACAGTCACCTTGACACTCATTCAATGGAAAGGCGGATGATGGATGTCCGTCTTGAAGAGGAGAATCTGTCAGTCTTGTTCACTCAGCAGAAGAACATAAGAGACACAAACTCACCATTCCCAACAAATTGGATTTCTCTGTATGAAGGCTGGTCCTGAGGTCTTGGAGTGGGCCTTGGTGTTGGCCTTGGTGTATCTGGATGAGGATCACTTGTGGCAATGCAGTAGTCTGTCCCACTTGAATCATCTTCACCACCACTGCAACCAGGAACACCTTGAAATCTGCCCCGCTGGAAACATCGAAGACCTGAGGCACACTGCTCCAAAAAGAGACAGAAACAATACCATTCAGAGAGAAGCCAGTAAGATATGGTCAGTGTACAGAACCACTTACATCACTGTCTTGGTCACAATCACCTTCACAACGCTGCAAAGGAAAAGCAGAAGCAGGGTGCCCATCTGAAGTGAAGCAACCATTTAGTTCACTGTAAGGCAAGAGTGGCACGCATGAATCACACAGAAACTCACCATTGGCAACAAACTCAATCTGTTTGTCTGAAGGATGGTATGCAGGCCTTGGAGTGGGCCTGGGTGTTGGCCTGGGGTGGTATGGCCTAGGTGTTGGCCTAGGTGTATCTGGCTGATGGCCACTAGCAGCAATGCAGTAGTCTGTTCTGCTCGAATCGTGCTCACCACCTCTGCAACCTGGAACAGATTCGTACCTGCCCCGCTGGAAACATACAAGCCCTGCAGCACACTGCGAGCAAGGGATGAAGACAGTGAGAACAAAAATTACGAAGGCTAGGCGGCTTCAGCGAGGCAGTAGAGGATACAGCCACTCACATCACTATCCTGGTCACAATCACCTTCACAACGTTGCAATGGGAAAGCATATCCAGGGTGGCCATCTGAAAAGAGCAACTATTGAGTTTGTTGGACAGGGAAAGCGGCCACTGAGACGAAACAAACTCACCATTTCCCACATATTCAATCAACCTGTCAGGATGAGGTTCGTGGGCTGATCTGAAGGTTGGTCTTGGGGTAGGTCTAGGAGAAGGCCTTGGAGTGAGTCTAGAAGTTGGCCTGGGTGTTGGCCTGGGTGTTGGTCTTGGGGAAGGCCTAGGAGTTGGCTGTGGGTGGAATGGTCGAGGGGTGGGCCTGGGGGTGTTAGGATAGTGACCAGGAGCAACACAGTAGTCAGTGTGACTGGCATCATAGGCACCGCCGAGGCATCCGGGCGCTGGCTGGTAGGGGCCTCTAAAATAGCACACAAGCCCATGAGCACACTGAAATGAAAGTACAGAGAAAAAGCAATTAGAATGGATGTAACAGAATCATGTCATCCAAAAGCCAACATTTCACTTGCATCACTATCACGGTCACAGTCACCCTCGCAATGCCCAAGAAGTCCTCCTCCTCCCTTGCCTTTGCTGCCCTTGCTTCCTTTGGATCCTTTGCTACTATTGCTTCCTTTGGAACCTTTGGATCCTTTGCTACTCTTGCTTCCTTTGGATCCCTTGGACCCACCTTTGCCACCGTAGTAGTAGCCTCCCAGAGCTCTTAGATTTTGAGTAGCAACATCATCAATCTCCTCTCCAACAGCTTCTTCACTCTCGAGATGAGTCCATGGCTTTGTTTCGTCGATGCCAAGAGCATGGAGTTGTCCAAGAAGACCAAGGAGGATGAAAGACAACGTCAGAGCTAAATCTACCTTCATGGTCGGTCAATCGAATGTGAAGATGCTTTTTAAAATCCACCGGCACAAATTATGGATTCGATCAGAGAGTGCAGCACATTGACGAGGATTTTTCAGGGTTTGCTTGCTTCAATGGAACCACCATGTATCCAGCGTCACGTTCATGGAAGAGCTTCCCGTGAGCAATGGCTTCGTTCCCACAAGCACATCAAAGACGTACCGCACACTGCCCTGGCCTCTTGCAACACTGTACACCACCACCAAGTCCTCGGCACCGATAGTGGCTCGTTCTTCCGATAAGTTAGTCGTGGTGAGAGCACTCTAGACCCCACCGTAACGGGTTGGATATCCTGCTAAGCACCGTCACAGCCGCGTTCCGGCTGAAATGCTGCCGATGCTTGTTAGACGCAGCCGGAAGATACCGCCCTGGTGTATCGGCTCACAGGCCATTCGAGTTGACCAATTAGCATTTCTGCAAAAGATGTGACAAGGACTGGCCAAGTCACTTAACAAAGTTTCACCTAAGCAATGAAGAAAATTGAGTCACACTTCTGCTTGCCCGCTCTCTGTTCCCACAAAACCGGTACACCGGAACATTGAAAGCACACACTCATTTGCCGCACCAGCTCCCGCTGTGACAAGCCAACGCAAGTCGAGAGTCCATCCCAGCGATCCCTGTGTGTGTGCATGATGGCTTGTTATAAGTTATAAACAGATGCTAGACTTAGCCTGTCACATGCAATGCCCAGGATAATGTCACTGGTCGCACTCTAGCTAGTTCATGATGATCCTACGAATATGATATCCAAATACTCTTCCAATACAATCTTCTTCGCTGACTCAGCCCTTCAACTCAATACAAGTTCCAGAACGAAGTTTGAGAATCATAAGCGCGAGAAGCTTCACAATCGTGGAGTTCCACTACTTCCCCTGATTTTGGGTGGTGGTCGTTGGTGACACATTGATGAGTGAAGCCACGTTGACTGATTTCAAACTCTTCCCCGTCGAAATTTCCATTCAAAGCAATCCATCGTTGCCGAAAGTTATCTGGGTCGCAGGATTCGAGCCAAATCTCTCGATCGTAGCGAGTTAAGCAGCGCTCGTTGTCTCCAGTCATGATCAGCCTTTCATCGATGAAAGAAGGTTGCTTGCTGATTTCCACCGGGGCATCTGAAACGTTGACAAAGGTAAACCACATCCGTTCGTCCTGAATGCACTTGCCAACGTAAACTTGGTCTTGGTCGCAATTGACAGCGTCATCACCAACCCAACACAAACCAGTTCCAGGATATCCCTGGTAGTCTGAAACAGTTGGGACACAGTCAAAAGTCAGATCATGGGAAGACATACAGAAGAGCAACTCAATGGCAATCTTTCCTCTTGAGGAATCTGACTTACCGTACATCATACACCATTCACCTGCAAGATAATCCAATGGCACCAAGTTAGATGAGAAAGGAGGCATTCAGTTTCGACAATGAAGATGATCACAATAACAGCACCACAGATTGCTTACGCTCAAAAGTCTCGTTCTGCCAGTGATAACCTTCCTCCCAGTACTGGAAATGTAGACGTAGACGGTTAGATCTTATTTTCTTTCCCGGCTCGGATCGTTTCGTCTGTTCCCTTCTACTAGCAACGACCAAGACTTACGAGTTTCAGTCGGAAATATCCTTCTGGTGGGTCGCTCACGGGCACGGGAACAGGACTCTCTCCATCCCAAGCGCAAAAGTCAGCAGTGGAGCGCTCCTCTTCTCCACCGTCGCAGTAGGGCACAGCATCCATTGACCCTCGTTGGTGGCAATAAAGACCTTCAATACACTAGAAGCGAACAAAGCAGGGCTTTCCAAATGAGCATCTGTTGTGGATATTATTATGCGAGGGGGCACCAAGCCCCCACGCCTCATCGAAGACTTACATCGTCATCCACATCGCAATCTCCCTTACTAAAAGTTGTCATTGCAAGAAACAAATGGAGTTGAGGTGATGATGATGGCTACAAAAGATATCCATACATTCCAGCAACCTACCAGACTGGCATTGGGTAGGCAGAGTAAAATGTACCCTCGTTTCCAACATATTCGATTCGCCCAAAAGGACCTTGGGATGGAGCTTCGGATGGTACTTGTGAAGGGCTCTGGGAAGGCATTCCCGTAGTAGTTGTTGGTTGTGCTGTTGTGGGCCGGGGTGTAGGCCCGGGGGTGGGCTGAGGTGTGCCTGCTCCGGCACTACTAAAGTCGAAAATGCAAAAGTCTGTCTGGGACGACTCAGAGGCTCCACCTTCACACCCAGGCACAGGAACATTGGGCCCTCGTTGGAAGCAAATCAAACCTTCATCGCACTGATCCAGCAGCAACACAAGGGAGAGAAAAAGTTGGATGAGCTCAGCAAAGATTCTTTCTTCAAACCCAACAATCGGAAGATCCACTTACATCAGCATCTCTATCGCAGTCACCTTGACAGAGCTGAAGAGGGAAGGCATCTGCAGGAGGACTTCCATTGCTTCCGATGGAAGTAACCCTGACCAGCTCTCTTGGTTGCTTCTCCCCCATTTCTGCTACCGTGTTACCGCAGAAGGACAGAAAAGCCCCTCCAAGCCACAGCAACCTCGCCTTCATTGTTTTGCGTTTTATCAAGAAACCTCGTACAGTATTGTTGTTTGTTGCACTGGATGTAATGCGGATGTTACATGCAGTAGATCTATGATGAGGGAATTCAATGCTGGGCAATGCTCCTTTTTGTTTGTTTTCGTCCTGATTGCGTCATTGTGACAATCACCAAAAAAAGAGACTAAATTGTGATGAAATGACAACTTCATTTAGGAATTTCAAATTTTTGCGACGCATTTTGTGGCCTAGTTTTTGTCCAGAGTACCTACTAAAACCTCCACAGTAAACATGATGTTGCTCCGTGTCATTCATCTCTGCCAAAAAGCTCAATGCCAAGGTTCCCGGTACCGGTAAGCGGCGAGGTATGATGCCGCATCCATTGACTCCTTGCACCGCAGGAACGAGCTATGCGTAGGTACGGTAGCTAGCTAGCCACCGTAGTAGGGCTGCTCAAAACCTCCAAGTCGTGGCTTGCTTCCACATGAAGGTTTGCGTCGGTGCTGTGACGACGACAAGACATCATCGATTCTTTTTTGGCCATGAAATCCCGCGGGCGGATTGATCAATCTGTCCCTGACTGCCAAAGGTGGATCCAGTTGGTTGGAACGGCTGAATGAGCAAATCCACCTTTTCAGACGCAAGAGGCTGGAGGTTCGCCGCAACAGCTACCGGTACGGTGCATTGTTGGTGTGAAGTGTAGAAAAGAGCTCAGTGTGCATGCATGGTTGCATAAGTAGGCTAGCAGTCTAATCCTATGCTATAGGTTATTGCAATAAGGTGCCTTCTGGGCGGCTTCGAAGGTGCCGTTGCGTCTTTGAGCTATTGTTTGACAATTAGTCACGAATTGGTTAGTCACGGGCGCCTCCCAACCGTTGCTTTTTTGCGCCCCTTCACACTTCACTCATCACTCATCACTTTGAAAGGGGGGATTAGAGTAGGGAAATTATCTACGGAAGCACTCATCACTTGCTGCCCTCGACCATGGCGTCGTTGTCGTCCTCTCGCAACACGGCGGCTCTGACAGGCTTTGCCCTGGGAACCGCCGCGGCTCTAGCAGGAGTCTGGATGGTTTCGCACTTGAGAAAGAAGACTCCAAAGAAAAGTGAAACCAAGTCGTATACAGGCAAAGCCGTGGACCTTCCCGGTGAAATTCGCGATGAGCAACTCTCGCGGCACACTCTCTATTTTGGCGAAGAGGGAATGGATCGTCTCAAGAACTCTTCCATTCTTGTCGTCGGGGTGGGTGGTGTTGGTTCTCACGTAGCTCATATGGTAGGTTCAGTGCAGTTCAGTGTTGGATTGTACAATTTCCAGGGGATGGTTCTAACCATTCTAACCACACTTACTTCCATTCTATCTGGTTTATTGTTTAGCTGGGACGAGCTGGAGTGGGACATCTTCGTCTCATTGACTTTGATCAAGTGACAGTCTCCAGTTTGAATCGACATGCCTGTGCCACCTTGGCAGATGTGGGGATCCCCAAAGTGACCTGCATGAAAGATTTCCTAGAAAAGATTTGTCCCGATCCCAAACACTTGCGCGTCGAAGCCATGGCCGAAATGTACACGCAAGAAAATGGAGAACGCCTCTTGCAGCTTCCTCACGATACTACTAAACAACAATGGGACTTGGTGATTGATGCAATTGATGACGTCCCCACCAAGGCGGCTCTTTTGGCACACTGCCTCCAAAACAACATTCGCGTCTATTCCTGCATGGGAGCTGGTGGAAAGTCGGATGTTACCCGCTTGCACATCTCCGACTTGAGAACGGCTGCCAAAGATCCTCTGGCTAGTAAATTGCGACAATCCATGAAACGAATACTCAAAACGCAACAAACCAGTACCAGTGGTGTGGATGGATCAGATTATTTGGAAAACATGGAGAAACTGGCCATTATCTATAGTTCCGAAAAACCAGTCGTCAAATTGGCCGACTTTACACCCGAACAAAAAGCACAAGGAGTGCATACGTTTGGCGCCGTCGACGGCATGAGGATACGCGTCTTGCCCGTACTAGGGACCATGCCGGCGGTCATGGGACAAACTTTGGCGGCCATGGCACTCTGCGAATTGGGGGGCAAGCCCATGTCCCCCGTGACAGGAGAACGGTTGGGCAAGAATGTTCGCAATCGAATGTATCAACACTTGAAACGACGGGAGGAACGGATCACCAAAGACGTTGTGTCCTCGAGCAACAACAACAGCAACAGTTTGGATGCGGCAAACCTTCCTCCGCAAGGAGTCTTGGTGGATGGGACATGGATTGGGCCGCTAAAGATTGATCAAGACGACATGTCATATTTAATGGAAGTGTGGCGCAATCGTTGTGCTGTCACGGGGGATCGGTTGGGAAACGTCTTGGAACTTGTGAGGTGGGACAAGAGCAAACCAACACTGTGCAACAACTTGGTTCTCATGGGGGTGGCCGCCTTGAAGAAATTTGACGACATCGGAAAGGACTCTATTCCGCAGGAGGTTCAGCAAGTGATTGAAAAACGGTTGGCATCATGTAACATTGATGGATACTATGGCTAAAGTTATAGTGCCCTCTGAGACTTCACAATTTTTATACTACTACTGCGACACGAGTTAGTACAGAGTAGCAAAGCTGGCTGGTCTTCTCTGTTTTTGATTCCTCGGTCGTTTTTGATAGCTCTAGGAGATAGCGATGTAGCCATTTGTGCGCTCTAGCTACTAGAGGTTCGCACCAAACTTCCATATAATCATGTTGAGTTTGTGCCTACTTGCTAGAATGTCAATCAAAAGATAAGTTGCTCTATTTGTTTTTAGAATTCGTTGCTTTATTGGAAGACGGAAGGGGAGGCTAAAACATGTGGTAGAGGCACACAGAACCCAAAGGCCATTCTATCATCGAATGGTCCCATCACAAAGCGACGGCATGTTGCGGAGCAGAAAGAAGGAACAGTCAATGTCTCGCTTGGATACGAGCAGTGTGTTGATCCAAAACTTTCTCTCGTCTCCAGTCGGTATCATGGAACCTCCTGCATCGGCTGCCTGTTGCATGACACGATAACGTCCCGCGCGATTGAGGCGCAGATAGTGTTCGATACGACGATCATCGACCGGAAAGGACGATGTCCCTCCATTGTGCGCCGGGATCATGAGCCACAATTCTCGCAATGTGGTATTGTCTTGCTCGAGTGCATTTCCCAAGAACATGGCCGAGTACTCGTTAAAGTCCACGGCACTGAGGCAGATTTCCTCCAGAGTGGTATTCTCCCGCAGCATGTTGGCCATGGCCAGTGTCCCGGCATCCGAGGAGAGTGTCTGACGGTTGCTTCGGCGCGAGGACTTTTTCTTCTTTTTCTTGTCCAGTTGACGATGATTGCTGGCATGCAGACTTTCTTCGGGTGGAAGATCAGCCAACTCTTGGGTCTTGAGGATGCTGAGTTTTCGAATGGAAGTGTTGGTAGTGAGTGCTTGAGACATGAGTACCATGTGTTCTTCTTGGAGTTCTCGAATGTTGTGCAGCTTGACTTCTTGCAGAGTGGTGGACCGACAGAGCTTGACGAGACAGGATCCATCCCATACACCCGCTTCGGCTTCTTCCAGTGCTGCCAGTCGACATCCGATAATGACCAACTTTTCTACTTTCTTGGCAATGGCACTGACAAACTTTTCCATGGCACTGCGTCCGGAACTGAGGTTGGTCATCTTGGTATCGTATAGGTAGCACTTTTTGATTCCGTCGTGTCGAGAGATGGCCTTGACGAGGATCCGAATCGACTCGTCGTTTGCGTGAAAGTAGAGACCATCGAGTGTGAGTTCGTTGAGTTTCTTCAAACCTTTATTGGGATGTAACAGAGCTGTCAGTGCTTGGACGGGAATACAAAAGGTGTGGCCGTGTGATTCTGGGTGTTCTTCGTGTTCTATTTCGGATGAGAGCTGCAGACTCTTCAATTTGGGAAAGCATCGTGCTACCCCTTGGCACAGAGTCACTAGCTGTTCGTCTTGTGGAACAGAGGTGTCGGCCAGAGCCAGTGTGAGAGATAAGGATTGTACGCCCTTGACGCGTTTCCGTTGCTTCACGCTGGTGCCTTCTTTCAGACGATGTTCCAGCTTGGTGAGAGTCTCAATCGCATCTTCGACGCTCAACACGCGAATCTCTTGGTGGCTGTTGTGATATCCCATGACGATGATGTGATGTTTGTAATAATGGGTTTGTTGTTGACGTGTTTGCTGGTGTTATTAAAGGGTGATGTTCACTTGCTACAGTAGCAAGATCCAAACTGTGTATTATGATGAGTGACGAGAAAAGCGCAATCACAGGCAAAAAGTTGATTGCGCGCAGTCGCTTGGTCCCAGCGAATAATAGTATGTGCGTAAAATGAGATGAGAATCTGCAGCAAGTATGTCAGGAAGGCTGAGAAAGATTGACTACAGAGTAGGACAGCAGTAATTGGACGAACTACAGCTGTGGGTCTGTAGGTCAATAGCTGCCTTCTTTGATTGCCAAATAAATAGCAGGGCTGTTTGCCTTCTTTATTCTCTACTGAGTCTCAGTCGGAGAGAAGGTATGAGGCGTAGAAAGTGCTGATACAGATGTGTTTTTCTTTGGCTGTGTTGCTGTTTCGCTGAGGTGGCTGCTAAAGGATTCCAGATGGCCAGCTGCTGCTATTTCGACGCAGCTTGTGTCCTCGCTGTTCGTGGTTGTCTCCAATACCGTGGTGGCACTAGAAAGTGTCCATTCTGAATTCTTTTCGAGTGACCCAAAGACTATGACCGTCGCCTACATTCGAGAACACGACACCACTCAATGCATTATGCACACTGGTACCATCGTACCATCGTACCATCTCCGATCACTCTTTCGATGCACTCGACCACTCAACCACAACACAGCAGCCCTCTTCAAGGCACACGCTACCGTAGCTAGTAGCAAGATCCCACATGCGAAGCTATTTCAATGGGGGTACAGGTGCTGGTGACTCTCTGACTCAGCCAGCTTTTGACCATCCATTGTTTCTTCTCAAAAAAGCAGAAACCTTCCCTCCAAGTCAATGGGGCAATGGAACTTTCGCCCCTCTGTTCCCCTAAAGTTATCATGGGCAATAGACCTTGCTTCCAAGAATGGGATCGATTACACTCACAGCAGTCGTCATCGGCAATAGATCTTGCTTCCAAGCTTCCAAGAAAGGATTCGAATTCGCTCAATGATGATCGAACAAGGTTGGAAACGGTGCTGGAACAGCCAGCCGCTGGTCGAAGAGAGGATACAAGTAGAAATAAGCAGCAAGAATAGTGCTGGCTGGCAGCTTCATGATGGCCAAAGCTAAGGACTGACTGGACAACTGACTGGACAAATTTAAATGCCACTACCTGCCAGCTGCCAGCCATCTGGGCGGTTTATGCAAACTGGTACAGTATCAGTCTCATGTCAATAACCTGCTGCTGCCCTTTCCCGATTAGAAACATCAGTTCAGGCAGTCAGCGAAGGAAACGCAACCCAAACAGTCAATCACAGCCCAGGGCAAGCAACCTGGTAGTAGGTACATGTAGCTGCTAGCTAGAAGCTAATCCAAGCAGCTGGTGCTGCTTCCTCCTCAGCTGCCCTTGTGCAGAAAGTGCAGTTTGGTTTCAAGATGGCCACACCCAAACCAGGCAACGAGGACGCTGGATGGCTTTCTTTTATTTGAGTACATGTAATGCAATCCTTGGAACTGCACTTGCTGTACGGATACCGTACCAGAGCTGGTACTGTACTGGTAGCCTGCGTCCAGCTACTAGTATCTTGGTAGTATCTTGGTTTTCTCCGAAGAAGACGAAGGGGTCAATTGCAGCTCTGCAGGGTTTCCATCCAGACCAACGATTGAATGAGTCACGGTCTGGCCGCTACCCGTTGCGAAGGGATTGGTGGCTCTGGATCATCAAACTTGCGCGAAACGTTGGTGGCAATGCCAAAGCAAACAAACGGACTGCAAGCGAAAGATACAAAGTTGTTATAGCTTGTGCAATCTACCAAAGGAAGCAGCAACCTACAAGCAAAGAAAAGAAAAGAAAAAGTAACTAAATAGATAGATCCGAAACCATGCCTATTTCAGCCCCCTTCACGATGCCCATGGTGACCGAGTGGCAATCGTTCGGTCCTCAACCCAAGGGTCCTCCCAAAGACGACGCCGATGCCGCGGCTCGCAAGGAACGCAAAGTCAAGTGCTCGGCCATGGCGAAACGTTTGGCAGATGAATTCAACAAGAAAGAATGGAGCGAAAAGAAGATTACCAAAGAACTCGATTCCTTGGTGGCGGAATTGGAAGCCGGCGGCGGCGACGCGTTGGCGGGAGGCGCTACCATTGAAACGCTGGAACCGCCTTCGGGGACCCGCGACTTTTATCCCGAAGAGTACCGCGTGCAATCCTGGCTCTTTGATCAGTTCCACGAAACGGCCCGTATGTTTGGATTCTCGCAATACGATGCTCCCGTCTTGGAGCACGTCCGGTTGTACGAACGCAAAGCCGGCGAAGAAATCACCGGACAAATGTACGCGTTTACGGATCAGGAAGGAGCGCGGGTCACGTTGCGACCGGAAATGACGCCCACATTGGCGCGCATGGTACTCAATAAAACCAATCTGCAAACGGGAGATGTGCGTGTGCCGCTCCCGCTCAAGTGGTATTCCATTCCTCAATGCTGGCGCTTTGAAACCACGCAACGAGGAAGAAAGCGAGAACACTATCAGTGGAATATGGATGTCGTGGGCGTCGAACATGTCCATGCCGAATTGGAATTGCTGGCGGCCGCCGTCTCCTTTTTTGAGCGAGTGGGTATCACCTCCAAGGAGGTTGGTATCAAGGTCAATTCCAGAGCTGTGCTCGAAGCCATCCTGGCCAAACATGGCATTGAAAAGGGCTCCAAAAATGATAAAGGAGAAGATATCTTTGCCAAAGCATGTGTCATCATTGACAAGCTCGACAAAATTGGAGCCGAGGCTGTCACTTGCATGCTGGGAGAAGACGTCGATGTCAAGCCAGAAGCCGCCGCCGATATTCTTCAATCCCTAGAGGCAAAGTCCATTGACGAACTGGCCAACCAACTAGGAGATGCTGGAAAGGATAATCCAGCAATCAATGACGTCAAGCGACTCTTTGAACTGGCCGTGGATTACGGAATATCCGACTACTTGGTCCTCGATGCTTCCGTCGTTCGTGGTCTGGCGTACTACACTGGAATTGTTTGGGAGGCGTTCGACCGTAGGGGACAACTGCGGGCCATCATGGGTGGAGGCCGGTACGACCGTCTGCTGGAGCTCTATGGAGGTGCGAAATGTCAAATTCCATGCGTCGGATTTGGATTTGGTGATTGCGTCATTATGGAACTGTTGAAGGAATGCAACAAGCTACCTGATTTGTCGACCGGGTTCTTGGACTATGTCGTTTGTGCTTACAGTCCAGAGCTTTACGGGGCAGCCAGTAAGGTTGCTGCTGGTCTCCGAAAAACGGGCAAGTCTGTGGATCTCATGCCAACACCCAAGAAAAAGGTTGCCAATTCCTTCAAGCACGCGGATGTGACCGGAGCGCAGCGAATGGTGTTTGTGGCTCCCTCGGAGATTGAAAAGGGTGTCGTCAGAGTGAAAGATTTGCGTACCAAGGACAAGAACGGCGAAGCCATCCAAGTGGATTGTCCTCTGGATCAACTGGACAAGTTGGATGAAATGATGGCACAAGCGGCGGAAAAATCCAGTTGAACTAGAAAAAAAAGCTGAGTAATGATAGATAAATTGAGTGATGATACAGGGCATCGGAGAATTGCGCGGTTAAGCCGACATCTGGGTCCCCACGAACAAGGAAACGACGAAGCATTGTCTTCTATAGCTAGTATGTCTTATGTTGTAGTTTTATTTCGGGGTCGGCGGCCTAGGCCAACGCGTATATCCCACCCCCAGCTTTTCGCCGATCTTCGAGACAGTTTCCTTCCTTTGAAAATAGACTGGAGCTATCGTCGTGCGTGTGTTTGTGTTTGTCATGTTCCGGTGCCAGTCAGCACGGCTTCTTGGATGATGTGTCGGGTTCTGGCAAATCAGGAAACAAGATGGGGATCAAGCTTTTGTCGTCCACAAGCCGGTAAACACATTGAGCAATTTCTCGTTTGGCAAACCCGTCCAATCGAGATTTTCGCTCGGCCTTTTCGTAAAGTTCCGATGCTATATCCGTTCGGTTTTTGATGAGATTCTGCATGATTCCAGAAATCACAGAAGAAGCGGTGTCTCGTTGACGCTTTGCAGCGACCTTGAGCTTCTTTTTGTTGTCTGCCTTTTTGTTGGCAATCATGTCATCAAGTTTGTTTTCCTCGTCTTTCTGTTTGTTCAGGGCGTTTTGCGCTACTTGCAACTGATACAGTGCCTGGGTCTCGTGAGCTATCGCATAGTCCACACTTTGCACCATAGTATGAGCGAGCTTTGTGTTGTCCATGGGTTCCGGCAGGTCTGGAAAGAAGACGGAGAATCGTTCGTCCGTCCCAATCAAACTCTGGACGTACCATGCGATCTCCTTCCGGCTCAATTCACTGAATTTGTCCTTGTATTCAATGTAGGTTTCGGATGCCAAGTCAACGTGCCCGGCAATAAGAGCTTGGATGATTTCAGCTTTGATTTGAGCCTCCTCGGCTGCCTTGATGCGGTCTTCAACTTGCTTGTTGAGCGAGAGCAGTTTCTGTTGGAGTTGTTGTGAATTCATCATCACATTGTGGTCGACCGAGGAGAATGCCAACGTACCGATGGGAAGCTGGTGATTGTTGTTCTCCACAACGACATAGGCCGCTGGGCGGGAAGAGTGCCTTGGTGCATTGGCGCCTTGCATCGAGGACGGAGGAGGAGGAAGGACCACAACAAAGACCAGCATCTTTCCACCATTGCGACAGTAGCTAACCGAAACGCCAGGGTCTTTGGAGAAATACTCTCCTGGGCCATATGCTTGACCCTTTCGCTTGGCGGGGTCGAGACCTCCGGTGCTAATTGCGTGAATGTTGGTTTCTGGAGTTCCGTGAAAAACAACGCCCAGTTCTGCTTGGTCCGGCAGACCGACCAGAGCATTTTGGAATTTCGTCACTGCGCTGACTCCAGGAATGAGCTCATAGTTCGGCATGAAGGTTGGACACGTGAAGCCCTTGCATTTTCCCGCAAATTCAGGGGACCGACACGCCTTGTGGAAGAAGGAGATTATGCCGTTCACGCCTAGCGCTCGCAAGTCGCCGTATTTTGCCGTTACAAAGCAATCATTTTGATTCAAACTGACGTTTGGATTACCTCCCGCTGGGAAGGTGATGGTGCCAGGGACACCATTGTTGGCGTTACTGCTGTTGTTGTTGCTGTCGAACGACATTGTTTCTCGGGTTTTGCGGGTCGTTTGTTGCCTGTTGGGCGAAGATGAATGAGATCCATGTCGTGCTACTACTAGCTAGTAGCGGCAGCGTGGAAAGCAGCAGCTCAAACCTGAAGCCTAAAAACACGACTGAGCTGTCGGAAGTAAGTTTGAATCTTCATTCGATGTCAAATCGAGCCTTCCTTGGTGACTACTGTACATGTAATCGAATCGAATCATTGATCATTCAATATATGGGGGGTCATTCAATCGAATATGTTTTCACCGTCACGCTCACTCTGGCCAGGAACAACCATGGGACGGACTTGCAGACTTTCCTTTCTTGGTGCTCCTTTCTTGGAGATGATTACCAGAGACTCATTGTCGAGATTCGATCCAAGGGCTTTGACAGTGTTGATTTGCTACCTACAAGAGCTTGAACGAGCTGAGCTTGAGTGACAGTAAAAATACAAAGGACATCAAGCCCACAGAACTCTCCATGTGGTTCCCGCAGTCGTACTGCCTGGTCCATTCGCCGCAGCCCATTCTCCACAAGAAATTGCTCTACAAAACAATGGGTCCTCTTTCGCGGCACCCGTGGCTCGAACCTCGAACGAGAGCAAACTACCGAACAGCAACGATCGAGACAACGTCTCCTGTGCGCATTCGCCCAAGCGCCCGATAAGAGCTTCGTAGGACCCTTTAACCACGTACTCAAGCCAAGTACATCCAAGAAATTCAATGGTACTGGTATGATTGGAACTTGGGGGGAATCGACCCAAGTCGAAATTCTCGAACGTTTGGCACCAGTTGTCGCGTACGGTCGAAGCCAGTGACGGTACAGTACTCCTGCATTTGGAGACAAGGTACGAGTGGACAACATGTTTGCCCCTTTTCTCCAACGCGATGGTCTTCTGCATGGGCTGGCAATTCCGATCTTGAAACAGTTGAATACTGCTCTAAGAACGTAGAGCCAACAGGGAAGCTGCCACCTGGACAGGCACCCACCAAGCTGCTACACAAGCGTCATTGCGGCGGAAAGAAACCTGAAGACTTCTGGTCAGGAACGCATTGTCCCAAGCGAGATCCACACTACAAGGCACTCGGTCGGGAGTTGACCCCGATTCCCACTGTGCAACTCGTACATGCAGTTGACAGGACCGCAATCAAATCATCAAAGTTCTAAAGCACGTTCGATGATTATCTAGACTGGCTCCTACGACTGTACTAGTAGTAGCGTATCCAGCCATAGGCCCGCACCGTGAGTTTACAAATAGTTTTGTGCCAACGCAATTGTAGCCCCTTTCCAACTTCGTCCCCGTGCGTGGCCCAGATTGCCGGGATACGGGAAACAGCCGCGCTCCTCAGGTGCAAGCTGCAAGCTACCAAGTAGCTTGTAAGGGGATGGACCTTCCTCTAACTCGATTCGATTCCCCTACTCACGTGCAAGTTGCCGTTGACGACAGCGCTCATTCCATCCACCCCAAACCAAGCTGCCAGAAACGCACCAACGGCAGATCACCACACGTAGAGTACCATCCGCAGCAATCCTGGCACCTCAATGATGCTTTATTACGGGTACAAAGAAGACGTGCGGACCGGATCGACAATGAGAAAGGACGTAAAGTAGTGCGGATGCATCTCCAAGCCCTCTCTAAAACAAGATGAATCCAAAGCACTACCGGTATGCATATATGTACGCAAAACAAAACACCTAGTGAGGGGATCGAACCCTCGACCACACGATTAAGAGTCGTGCGCTCTGCCAAACTGCGTGTTACGATTCGAGAGTCATTGTCAGCTTCAGTTTGCAAGGATTGTGTGATTCAGTTTCATGCGGTTGCAAGCTTACCTGAGCTAACCAGGCTTTGATGCTGCTCTCAGGGCTAAATTTTTCATATTATAAAGTAAAAACATCACCGTCCCGCAAGGGAAAGGGCACCCAACACCCCATTTTCACTCATCGTATCCACGCAAACCTCAAACCCTTGAAGAGGAGAGGGCCAGATCGAAGAGGAGACGTACCCGCTTCAAGCAGCGGCACCCGAAAAATGATTGGCAGAATCTCTTCTAGAGTCGCCAGGAATGGGATCCATCAAAGCTCAAGAGGTCGCCAAACAGCCACCATCGCCACGGTGCCATGGATGTCATCACCTTTCTTGGCCCCTTCATTTCCGTCGCCTTGCTTCCTCCAATATCCGGCATCAAGTTTATCAACAGTTCCAAGAAGGTTATTTTCTACGTTGCCTCCTGAGATAAGATTTTCTCCTCAGTACACGGTTCATGGCGAAAACTGTATGCTCAGCATGAAGGCCATGATGCCGGCATTCCGACTAAAAAGCAATTTTCTCACAATCGAGCCTGGCAAGCGAGGCCGAATCCTGTTGGAATGGATACCACGTAGCGCCGATGGAAGACACGCTTTTGACAACACCATACGCTTTGCCTTGTCCGTGGAAGAATGTGGTTTGGTGTTGGATCAACTAGGCAAGAATAACAACGTCCTTTTGACGTGCCGAGTGCCACCGTCTGAAGAATCCTCCATGGAAGATGTACCCGACAAAGTGTTGCAAATTATTGCTGGCCAAGGTGGTATGGCTAATTTCAAGGTGGATTTCGAACTTGGCGGCGTTGGTGGACAATCGGCGGCAGCTCATGGAAATCCAAACATTGTGTGACCATTGGAAGTAATTGTGCGAGCAGGAGAGCTTCAAGTGATTTTGGCATTGCTACGGGATTCCATTCCAAAGCTAGCCGGATGGAGCACTTCTATGGACCACGGCTTAGAAGCAGCCGTTCAATATGCTTTCCAGCAAGGGGGTACCGGTAGTGCAAGGTGGTAGCGAAATGCGACAATCCAATCATGGTGCGGCGGCGATTTGCATCTTCAGAATCACGCGATACACCTTTTTGAATTCAATCACAATGACATTTTCTTGCTTGTCACACAAAACCAATGTCGAAGAAGTAGCGAAAGGCAGCAACTGGAGGAAGAAGATCCAAATATCAAAGTGCGCTCTAGCTTAGAAAAAAGATGATAGAATGTGGTCGCATTGAAGAGCCTATAGGAAGTAGTCAATCCTCGGGAATGACAAGCCCCGAGCTGTGCCATGGAAGTCGTACAGTAGCCAAGCCCACAGCGAAGATGTGGTGATAGGGTTCTGTGAAGTGGAAATTTCTTACTAAAACCTCATTCCTACGGAGGAAGTTCAATGGTAAGGCTCGGGACAATATCGCGCCCCAAGCTTTACACCAAGGCCCAATGAGCTTGTCTTACCAGTACGAGAAACCACCCATCGACTTACTTTCCTTACGATGTCCCACCACGAAGCCTTGTCCTTGGCCCTGGAACTTGTAGCTTGTGGAACAAGAGGAACAAAGTCAACAAACACGAACAACGCAAAACCACATCAACAGAAGGCCATAGAACTACTCCATGATGAAAAGATCGACGAGAATCTCTTTGGCCCCACTGGAACCCTTCCTACCCAACCCACTTCTTTTCCTTTGCTTAAGCGACTATCCTCGAGAAACCTACGGTACCACATTCAAGCCAACCTAACTTGACTCTTGTGATATCAAAGCTCTGTGTGGCAGAGAGACCACTCGAGAAGACCAAGTAACTGCCTCATACTTCACGAGAGGACTCCAAGTTCTACTCTATGGGTAAAACCGCCAAACACCCTTTCCGTGTTGTGACGGGTGCATCCTGGCCATCCTGTTCATATGCCCATTTTTGGATTCTTGCAGCCGCTCCCCCGAGTTGCTTACGGAACCTGGCTGTGCTTGCAGGCACCAAAAACTTCATTGCATGAGTTGAGGAGGAGGTCTGGGGTTTCTCTTGAGGCTTTCGTAATTTCTAGTCCTTCTCAATAGCAACGAAGGCCGTAGTTGAGGGTCCTGGAGGTCTTGACTGCAGCACTGAAAGGGTTGCCTTGCCATAAGATCTTGTTGCAAATGCTGCTTCTTTGCAGAGCTGGGTTGACTTTGTTGACAGAGTGTCTTGCTGTGTAGGAGTCATATTTGGATCCACCTTCACGTTGTACTTTGACGACAGAGAAGTGGCTTCACTGAATTCTTTGGATTTGTTGGATCTCGTAAGCTTTCCATTTTTCATCCCCTTGTTTTGCGGTTCTGGAAGCGCATGTGTCCCATTATAATATGAAAAATTTAGCCCAGGAGGAGCAACAAAGCCTGGTTAGCTCAGGTAAGACCTTCAGTTCAGTCCCTTTATCGCGCCCAACTGGCGTTATACAGGTTGCTAACAGTGAATCAACTTGGTACTTGTGGATGCAGTTTGGCAGAGCGCACGACTCTTAATCGTGTGGTCGAGGGTTCGATCCCCTCACTAGGTGTTTTTGCTGAAAGAGAAGTTGGTTTTGTCCCAGCCACACTAGTAGCTCTTACTTCGACAGGGGAGTCACCAAGCCTGAAAAAGAGCAACCCTCTAAGGGAGCTTCCTCTTGAAGCCGCGCAAGAACTGCGTCCCAACTCCCCACCTTTGGAGGGAGCTAGCTAGACGATTCAATTCAATCACCACTGCTTCCCTTTTAAGTCTATGATCGAAGTTGATGGCTACGATCGACAAAGCACAACTAAAGCTGCCAGTACGCTCGATGAAGCAAAAAAGCAACTCTGTACCCAAAACTATGTACTACATACTCATTAATTTACAATGTAACATGCAAGCAACTCTATCCATTGATGGTGCTTCTTGGTATGCACTTTCACATGCTCGCACAACCCATGCCAGGTTCATCGTATGGGAATATCCATAATGCAACATGTATGATCCATTATGCAAAAGACAAATCCATTCATCGAGTAAATGCAAATCCATCCATCGAGTGCAGCCGTGCCTCCCAGATGCGGTACTGATCTACACACAATCCATACACTTGTTGTCCTGATTTACTCTTCTTCTGTTTCATCTTCTACTGTCCCTTCCTCTTCATCTTCCGAAACACCCTCTGTCCTTTTCCTTTTCTTTCCCCGCTCTTCCTCTTCCTTTTCTTCCTCTTCCTTCTTCGGACGTTCTTTTTCTAAAAGAAGCGAAAACGAAACCAAGAAAAAAATCATGTTGAGCTCCATGTCACAGTAATCGATGCAATGCGTTGCTCCCTGGCAAGTCTTTACCTCTGAGGCATTGCGACGTCTTTTGCCTGGCACGACGATTTCCAACATCCTTCCACACACTAACGTCGCCCGGGTTCGACGACTCCACCCGTTCCACGAAACGTCCAGGTGGATCCATGTTCCTCCAGATTTCCACAACTTCGCCGGCAACCTTGGGCTGCAAACAATTTGTCAATGGGGAAACAGACCAAGTTAGCCAACTGAACAGACATACTGCAAACACACAATAATAATCCAAGTGGCCCAAACGTACCTTGTCCACACGTGAAGCAGCGACGTATCGTGGTTTGTGCTTCTCGACAAGATTTCGAAACGAAATGTTACCGATATGGTTCGAAGTACCACTGCCGCGTCCGAGCATAACGTCGTGATTGCCAGGAGACTCAATGTTGCCCCCTGCACTACTGCCTCCCTGGGACGAAGCTTCTACCCCGCTATTTTCTTCCCCCGCTCTCGGAGAAGATCCTGATTTCATGCGATGCGAAAGCAAGGGGTCGTTAGAATGGTGTTCTCTTGACGAAAGCGCGATGAGAGCAACGGACAAACAAAACACGACCTTACCATCGTGAGACACGAGACGATTAGCACCGTTGATGTTGCCTAGACCAAAAATTTGCCCCAATAGCTGCTGAGGGTTGATCTGACCATTTGCCACTTGACCTAAAACCGGTACGGTGAATCGAGTAGAGAAGTCAGTGTAAGAGCAACAGAAGCAACGAGATACGGAAGCTTCTGCACATTCGTACCTAGCACCTCTTGCATTTGCTGTATTATTTGCTGCTGAGGTTGCTGGGGCGGTTGCGCTTGTTGCTGGTTCACTTGCTGTTGCGCCGCGGCTATCAGCAATGAGCACTGCGCGGTGGAGGGAAATAATTGTGAGCATACACTAGCTAGCTAGACAGCGCTGATAAGCGACCATGATCTCATTTCCTTCAGAGAACTCACCATCCCCATAAGCAACTGGGTAGCTCCTTGGTTTGCAGCAGGCGGAGGTTGCTGTTGCTGGGCCTGGTTCCCCGAGGCCATACTAGAACTGCCAACTGCTGCTGGCTGAACTTGGTGGACCTGTTGCTGGGCCTGGTTTCCAGGAGCAGGAGCCATGTTACTCCCACCTGCGCTGTTCTGGGCTTGCTGTCCAACTGTTGGAAGGGCTTGTTGAACCTGTGGCGGGGCCTGGTTCCCGGGAGCAATGTTCTGGACATGTTGCACTGGCTGCTGAAGCTGGTTGGCGGTTGCCAGATTACTACTGCCAACTGGTGGAGGCTGAGCTTGATGAACCATGCCAGTTCCAAGAGTGCTGTTCTGGACCTGTTGCACTTGATGAGTTTGATTGGCGGTAGCCACATTGGTGTTTCCAACAGACGCAGACCGGGCTTGTTGCACCTGCGGCAGAATCTGGCTAAAGGCATTGGCGGAAAACGTGCTGCCTCCAACTGACGTGCCTAACAAGCATTGGAGAGAGTTTGGGAGAAAGAGGAGTGAGCATCCGCCAAGGCAAGAAAGGCATCGTTCAGGTTCACACAAGAAGAAACTTACCCGTGCATCGATTCGGCTGGAACGGTTGTTGCTGAGGCATGGCTGCCGCAACTGGGGCAGATGGCTGTTGCTGCGGTTGGATTGACCCAGGGTTGTTATTGTTCATCAGGAGTTGGATAATCTGTCTGCTTAAATCTTCCGAGACAGCTCCTGCTGGTTGGGCCCTTCCTGCTGTAGGGAGGTGCAACGAGGATCGTCAGCTTTTAATCGCCGAAGAAGCATGAAGTACTTGTTCTTGGTCTTTGACACTGGAGAGCTTACCTTGCTGGTTTTGCTGCGCTGGTTGCTGGGCGGCTATGAATTTGATGGCGACAACGGACGGGATAGTGAGCTCAACGTTCATCGGCCATGAAAACGTTCATGTACGCACAGATCAATGACTTACGGGCCTGCTGCTGTTGCTGGAACTGCTGCTGAAGGACTGCATCCATGGTTGTACCGGTAGAAAGAGAGGTCAGATGTGATGCTAAACGACAGCAAGAGACCAAAGTACAAATTTACTGGAATAACTAACCAGGCTGCTGCTGTTGTGGTTGCTGCTGCTGCTGGAACTGTTGCTGGCCGACCACTAAAATTGATTGGAAGAGGGAAAGTCGGGAAAATGAGGGATTCAAAGATTGAGGAGGGGGCAAACACAGATCATGAATTGCTATCTTACCTGACTGGTTATGCTGTTGTTGTTGCTGCTGCTGCTGCATTTGTGGCTGCTGGGTGGCTATAGATGGAGATCAGGAGGGCAGGGGAGACATTGGAAAGAAAGTCAAAGTCAAAGACGGAGTCAGACCAACAGTGGAGGCAATCGACTTTTTGAGATGCACGCTGTCCCAACTCACGTGGCTGCTGCTGATGGACAGCTATAGTTGAAGAGAGATCAGGAAGGTTAGGCGGGTTATCGGAGAAAACGAGAACCGCCAGCAAAGGCCAGAGTAAGTAGCAATTGAGGTACTGACCTTGCTGCGGCTGTCCTTGAGCCGGGTACTGTCCCTGAGGCTGAACACTCTGCCCTGCTTGGGGCTGCTGCACTTGAGGCTGTCCCTGAGGCTGCTGAGCCCCGCCGGGGTTGAGCAACTGCAAGAGAGCCAAGAGATTCTGGTTGTTGCCGCCGCCATTTTGGAGTGGGGCTTGAATTGGTTGCTCTTGCTGCGGCGGCGCCGCTGGCGGCTGATACTGCTGCTGCGAAGGCAGGACCTGTTGGTTGCTTGTCGGTGGATGACTGGCCTGATTGTTGCTGTTGTTGTTGTTAGTTACAGCTACAATATACCAGTGAAGCGTAAGGGAACAAAGATGGATGAGCCAAATCGAACGAAAGCTGGAGGTTCTCGTTTTACGTGACACTTGTTTCTATCACTACTTACCCTGAGGCTGTTGTTGCTGCTGTGGAGGTGGCTGTTGGCTCTGCTGATTCGATGCCACCGCTCCTCCGCCGCCATTCATAGGCTGCGACTGAGGCTGCTGAGCCCCCAATAGTTGGAGCAAGGAGTTGAGGCTCGTTGCGGAGAAAGGCTGTTGAGAAGCACCTGAAGCACTAAAAGAAGGAGGGTTGTTCATGATGATGTTGGCCTTGGCTTCTTTGGTCGTCAAGTTGGTCTCTTTCGTTGTGTCTTTGGCGTTCGTTGGTCTTTGAGGATTGAATGAAGGACGCTTTGAGGATTGATGAAGGATGCGCTGGTCAAGGCGTGATTCTTTGGTAGAGAGAGTATCGATCTCGAACGCAGCTGAAGTAGTGGGGTTGTCGGGTAGCAACAATCGTGCGTGAACGTGCGTTTTGGTTGCTTGCTTCGTGTTTTTGTTTGCTGCTGCTGCCTCCTCGAGCGAGCCATCTGAGATCCTGACATCGTTTAAAGCAGAGTGACCTTTCGGGAACAGTCATTGCGTTGCGAACACTAGTAAGATCTCGCTTGGTCCTGGTTTGGATTGAAATCATTCGATGGTTTGAGCCTTCATGTTTTCCCTAGTCCAGGATATGTCGTCTCGATCCCATCTCCATTCATCAGACGTTTCCTCGCTCAGACGCGCTTCTAAAAGGGTTTGCTAGCGAGCAACAGGAAATCAGAAGTAAATTATCATTTTGGTCCCTTGAAAACTGAAAAGACGGGTGGACTTCCGTTGCTGTACAGGATTCACGTACTGTAGCATTGTACGCTGCATGAATTCGCGTAGGAGTTCCCTCCAGACTCCAGACCACTACCCCGAAGGACGTTTTGCTATTATTGTACTGACTACCGGTATGACTTTCAGCTGACTTTCTCTAGTTCTGTGTCTGCTGGGTCCCGAATGCAATAAAGAAAGAACTAGTTAACTCCGATCCTTCGGTGTGTTCAGCTCCTCTCTTGGCTTGGGGGGCAAGGGGGGCAAGCATGCCATCCACAGAAACAACAAAGGGAGGAAAGGAGGCGCGAGGGGGGTTGCTGTGCTGTGATGAGAGTACCGTAGAAACCAAGACAACCCAGCCTGAGCTGGTAATTCATGTAGTGTCTGTAGGATGCGCACTCTATTTTGTCAATGTACTAGTATGTTTTCATCTAGCTTGATAATACTGCGCACTCTATTTGGACATCAATGTTGCACGAAGGATGGATTTGGAAACAAGAAGTAACGTGTATTATCTACACCCTTTCTTCACTCGTTTGCTACTGGGAGGTCGATCTTTCTCTGAGGAGGGGCAAAACATCGATTTGATGAGACCAGCATGCAGAACGGTCGGGGTCATCCAGCAATTGACAAAACTGCACTCACCGCGCAAACACTGACACGTTTTTGTCTTGGCCCTGGAGTTACCCACGTCAACCCATCGGCCACCCGAAAAGTCTTCATTATCATTGCCCTCGTTGTCGTCATCACCACCACATCTAGTCAAAAACCTTCCAGGAGGAGTGAGATTGCGCCAAACATGGACAATCTCATCGGCGACTTTTGGCTGGAATTTGTAAGAGGAGCGAACGCACCAATCAAAGCATCATTAGGCTGCTTCGTGGATGGGGCAAGCCAACACATTCAGTCAGCAAGAAATCTGTAGTACTCACCTTATCGACGCGGCTGGCACTAATGTACTTTTCCTTGTATTCGTTGACCAGCGTTCGATATCGAATGTTACCCCTGAATAAGCAAGTAATACCAGGACACGAGGGCATGCGTGAGCACCGCGAGCCAAATGGAACGACAAAACGGATCCCATACCAATGTACTCACAAGTGATTACTGGCGCCGCTTCCGCGGCCCAAGAGAACATCGTGCTCGCCAGGGCTGGTTATTTCATCCTCGGCTTGTTGCTTTGTCCGTTGCGATCCCTTCTTGGAGTTCTTGCCTTTCTTTCGCTTTGCTGAAGCCCCTGGGGCAGGGGCACTGGCAGCAGAAGCCCCAGCGGTAGGGGCGCTGGCAGCTGGCGCAGCATTTTGTGGGGAGGGCGAATGTGAAGCTTGCCGCTGTGTCGATCGTTCTGCAGTTTGCTGTTGTTGCAATGGTTGTGGTTGCTCGGGACGTGGTGGTGGTACTGCAGAGGCTGCGGCTGCAGTCGGCACCGAAGCTGCGGCCACGCCTGCATGGGCTGGCATTCAAAGTAGTGATGAGTCAAGCCATTCAGATGCAGGGCGAAACTTGTTGGCACTATGATGTAAGTGGAGACACGTACCAAGAGCTTGTGCCTGCTGTGGTTGCGCCAACTGTGAAAGAATGGCGGAAAGCAATGGACTATTCAGGTTGTTTGAGGCCACTGAATTCTGCAAAAGGTTTCCCAACATTGCTTCTGCCGAGCCTTGTCTTTGCGTTGGGAGCTGAACCGGCGCCGGAGCGTTCGGGTGAGCTATTAATCTGGACACAGCATGGGAAGGTTGTGCTGCAGCAGCCAGGTGGACAAATCAGAGTTAGCAAGGAGATGCGGCTCCACATATTCTAAAATAATCAAAAACGAATCAAGAACTGCCAAATGCTCACTCACCAATTCGTTGCAAAGATGCCAAGGCAGAGGTAACATCAGCCGCGGGAACACGAGGTGCCAAAGTATTTCCTTGCCGCATCTGCAGTATGTTAGCAAGCTGGATGTGCTCTTGCATCGTAGGTGCTCTATGCAACGGTTGGATTGGTTGTGTTCCTTCATGGCCACGCTGTTGCCGCGCCTGCTGGGGCAGCTGTGGTGACAGTCCAGCTAACGGCAATTCAAAAAGACAAGAGAAGCATAGATTAGCCGTGCAGTTGCTTTGCATTACAAATGATAGATTAAGAAAATGAACCACGACGTACCAAGTTGTTGGAAAGCTGTCAATGCAGTCAATGGCACACCTGAGTTGGTAGGAACAGCAGCGTTGGGAGCACGAGGTGCTACAGCGCTTGCTTGGGACCGCTGCATTATGTTCGCAAGCAGTTGGGCTTGACCCATCTGTATTTGCTCTTGCATTGCGGTTGCTCCATGAGACTGCTGAATTGTTTGTGATGCCTCTAGAGTCTGCTGTCTCTGTTCGAGTGAGGGGTGAGACTGTTGTGGCTGGGATGGAGAGGGCTCGTGACCAGCTTGACCCGTGTTCGCCTGTTCTGGTACCCCTGTACCTGCCGGCTGGTGGTCCTCTTCCGCCTGTCGCCCCGGGTTACGAGATTGCTCACCGCCATCGTCTCGACTGGCCCCATCAGTCTGAGATACCGGTAGCTCGGACCGGTCTTGGAGTGCTGATGCTTGGAGTGCTGATGCTTGACGCGCTGGAGGAGCGACGCGTGCTGGTCGCTGAATATGACCCAACAACGCTCGTTGTTCTTCAGGATTCAACTGATGCACAAGTTGAGTAATCGATGATTGCTGGGGTTGAGGAGGAAGCGGAGGCCTTTGTAGACCCATCAACGCAGCCACTAGATGCTCCATCTTCTTAGTTCCGTGCTTCGTTCAGTTGGTTGTCTTGTAGCTTGTGCCCAATGGTAATAAAGATGGAACGAATAGCGGTGTGGAATGCTGGTCACGACGGTCGGTGAATATTAGCAGCGCAATTTGGAAGCAGCGCGATTGCTGTAAAGCGAGAGTGTCCGGACAAGGAAAGGACTATGTCCGGCAACCGAGCGAGCCAAGGAGGAGAGGACCAACAAACCCTTCGTCAATCTCACGCACGTGGCACGTCACGCACGAACTGTTATTTAACCACGGTACTGTTCACTTTTCCTTTTTGGACACCAAGATTCTCATCCACCTGATACCGGGACTGTTCGTATGATGACGTGGAATCACTATTTTACCCCATCTTGAAGGTTTTCTGTAAAATGAGGTAAACAAATGGACTCCCTCAGTCACGTATTGTACGCGATTCAATAGAACAATTTAGAAAGTTCCAAACATCTACGCGCAGAGTGCTGTTGGTGGCACCCCTCTTGACAACCAACACCGACGTCACAGCGGACAATGGCACCAATTCCACTCGCTGGACGCCACCTGCCGATTGATCAGTCAATGCGCCAAGCTGCCAGCAACAAGAAAATAATGAAACCTCGACGGCCAAAAAATCGATACTGAGCGCTGGAGTCAAGTCCCTGCCTCGCCGAATTAGAGGAGATACTAGTATACAAAACCAAAGATAAAACCTACGAAAGAAGATCTATCTTATTTCTCCTCCACGTATTGGAATAGCGTCAAGAGATCGTTCAGCTTTTAAAAGAAAACAGTTCACTCACAATGGTGGCAATACTCAACGTTGGCTATTTGTCACTGCTGCTGACTTTGGTGGGAATTTTCCTGCCTCTACACGGAAGTGCCTTTGCACCCCCAGGACTTTCCCATTTGAACAAGAGGACGGTTGCTCAGTTCCCACCATCACAGCGTCGCCATGATGAATCCAGACTGCCAGTATCATCATCGACCCAAATCAACATGGGCAGCAGCATGAACCAACCCCCGCCTTATCCCATCCGAGTGACAGTCATGGGAGGGGGTAATTTTGGGTTGGCTCTGGCAACTATATGTGCCCGAAACGGAATTCCCGTGACCCTATTGGTTCGGAATCAAGAAATTGCCACTCATATCAACCAAAAGCACCAACATCCCCGGTATATGCAAAACATTACCCTACCCACCAGGATACGGGCAACATCCGATCCCAACGAATGCTTGCCGGATGCTACCTACATTATTCATTCTGTCCCCTGCCAATATTCTCGCGAGTTTCTCAGTTCCGTGTCAGAGTACATTCCTCCCAATACACCCGTGCTCAGTGCGTCCAAAGGCATTGAAACGAAAAGCTTGGGATTCATGGCGGATATTCTAAAAGAGTGTTTGGGCGACGAACGACCCTATGCCTTCTTGTCAGGACCATCCTTTGCTCGTGAAATTTGCGAAGGTGTCGCCACCGCGGTAGTGATTGCTTCGGAGGACTTGGATCTGGCCCGGGACCTGGCAACTATGATGAGCGATGAAAGTTTTCGGTGTTTTATTTCCAAGGATGTGGTTGGAGTCGAAATTGGAGGGGCCGTGAAAAATGTCATTGCTATTGCAGCAGGAATGTGTGAAGGTTTGGGACTAGGAACCAATGCGATGAGTGGGTTGGTGACCCGTGGATGCGGAGAAATGAGACGACTGGGATTGACATTTGGCGCTAGGTCCAGTACAATCTCAGGATTGTCAGGTAAGTGGCACAGCTTTTTTTTTGTGCTGGCGACTGGAAAGCAAGCAAAGATATGATTCAATCAATCAAACAATTAACTAACTAACATGGTCTGACTTGGCTGGCTGACGGATGGATATCTGCAGGTGTGGGTGACACTTTTGGAACATGTTTTGGGCCCCTTTCTCGGAACCGCAAGTTTGGTTACCGATTGGGTCGAGGGGAGACAATGGAAGAAATTCTAGCGTCCTCCACCGAAGTAGCAGAAGGCGTCGATACATCCAAGGCGTTGGTGAACTTGATCCGGACTAAATGCAAAGGATACCGTCTCGATTTGAAGTACCCCATTCTCTTTGGTGTGGCGTCCATCTTGGAAGGCACAACGACACCAATGGAAGGTTTGAAGGGATTGATGAGCATGCCAATGCAGATGGAGAACTTTGATGAGCGGCCGTACGAGTTTGTAGTCAAAGAAGAGGAGTGTGAGCCTTGAGCATGCTAGCTACGGGTAGGCAGCGTCAGTAACCGAGTGCATGCCATCAAATTGCATGCCATCAAATTGCAGTGGCTTGCTTACTTCCCATTTTACATGTAACTATTTTTATTGTCTTTATCCTTTCATTTGACCTACTGTCACCGAGACCAAGAGAAGCCTACTAGCTACTGTACCGGTACCCAAACGGAGCAATTAATTATTGTAGTGTTTGATCTCCTCACGACCAACTTCCATAAGTGTAGGACACTGGTGGCCACTGTGGCGGATCGAATCCCTTGCCCCCGAACGGTGAACATCGTAGCAATCGCCATGAAATCAAGACGGCTCCTTTGCCGGGACCAAATTCCTTAATGGCTTGAACTCCGTACTGGGAGCATGTTGGCACAAAGCGACAAGCCGGCGGCAGGAGTGGGGATATAAAAGATTTGTAGAATCCCAATGCAGATATCATGCTGTCGGATACCGGTGCGCTGGGTTTACTGGTACTGGCATCGCTGTCCGATTCGGCATCTTGTGGTGTTGTTTCTTCATCATCCGCTGTCGTGTCTTTGCTGCTGTCGCTGGCCAGAACCCGTGAATAATGATGGCGCCGATGGACAACCCGTGGCACGAAACAGGTGGCAGTTACTCCAAATGCTGCCGCGGCAATCACAGGCTTGGATCGAACGCTCTGATACAAGTTATGCACCGCAAAGCCTCTCAACGTTGGAATCCTTATAGCAGATTGTGCGACAACTCCCGATACTCGTCCCCAGAGGGCCATGGACGATTTTCGGTGGTGATGATGGGCTGAGAGGAAAACACAAGATTGGCAAGCAGCATCGGATACATCTGCCAGCATGCAGCAAAGGACCGAGACCAAAAGGACTGGTAGAATCATCATCAGCTGATGTCCCATCTTCTTTCCAATCAGCAAGACCAAAGAAGCACAAGCGGCTGTCGAGATACTGAGAGGTTGGTTTGTGCCTTGTCTGTGAAGATCCAAGATCTGATTCGATTCGATTCGAACAAAAAATCGAACTTGATTCGATTTAAGGTCGATTAGCTTTGCACCCTTCCGAGTGACAGGTCCCCGAAAACTGTGGAAGAGACAAGATGAGACAGACCAACCGAAACTAACAAGCCACCGAACAATCGTGCTCGATCAATATCTGTCACCCTTCACGCTGCCGAGGATATCGTGTTCGTTGCTTGCTGCGAGGAACAGCCTGATGAGGCGGATGTTGTCATAAAGTTTTTGAAGAAGCAACCAGAGCAGACTGTGTTAAAGGACGGTCTGAATTTGACCACATTATTTCTTGACGTGTTCTCTTCTTGTACGGTAGCTACTGTTTGTTGACGATTCGATTCTACAATGGGTCGGTTTCGAATGTGTGCGGAAGAGGAAGACTATCCAGCTGAAACCAACTATTTTGATGCCAAACATGTCTACAGTAGCAGTGACGACGACGCTGACAATGACGACCCAAGGGGCTTTTGGGACAAAGCTTTGGTGCCAGTAACAGTGCTCCGTCCTCAGGAAGTGGAAACAGAGGAGGACGCCGAACAAGTCGATGAACACTCATTGGGTAGTTCACCCATCTTCCCTCCTTTTGTTACCATCAGACGAAATAACAATGACGAGATTGCTGTGCAAGAAGAGGACGGTGCCCACCAATACGAGCAACCTTCCAAACCACGCTTTCCTTGGTTCCGCATTTTCTTATTTGCACTCTTGGCTCACATCGTGGCTGCCTATGGACCTGCGTCTCCACCTCCCGATGTAGGCAGCGATTCATGGGAAGATTTCTGGGTGACACAGTTGAGATTGCTGTGGCGCTCCGCCTCTTTGATTCTTTATGTTTCCAAGTATTCTATTTCGTGGATCAGTGCCGCAGTCTACGATGATGCTCAAGCCACGTATCATCAAATTCGAACCCATCAAGAAGAAAAGGCTCGACTAGCGCTCTGGAGTAATTGCACATTGACTATACCCGAGGAGTGGAATTTGGAAGTTGAGCCATCGTCAAAACGGAGAGTCAATGGGCAAAAGCAACACCAAAACAGCAGCAGTGATGACTTTTATCCAATTTTCGGACAACCGTGGGCTGTCAAGGACACAACCAAAGCATTGGATGCGTGGGCACAATCAGCGCCCCTGCTGCTCTACTTTGCGGGTAGCGAAGGGGTTGGGAAACTGGAACTGGCAAAGCAAATCTCTCTGCGAATGTTTGGACATTGCCTGGACGACGCCGAAGATGATTTCAGCTTTGAAGATTTGGCCAACAAAAAGTCAGGCCCTGTCATGATGCTTCAGGGGCTAGACTTTGCCATTCATCATGAGAGCAATCAAGACACTACCAAGGAGAGTGGTGAAGAATCCGGTATTGACAACTATGGGAAGACAGCATCACAAAAGATCAGGGCCATCCGTGTCCAAATGTATGAAAGAATCATACGACACGCACAAGGGCACCCCGGTGGAAGCGTTATCGTTGTGCAGCATGCAGAAGATATGGCAGATGGGTTTATGGCAACCATGGTGCAGGATCTTACCAATCCTTCCCGGCATTTCACTGATGGCACGACTATGGGTGGACACGACACCTTGGTCTCGAGATTGCAACTGGCTTGTCAGAAGACGGTCTTCATAATGACTTCTTCAGTTGGTTCAAAGACCGTTAGCAACAGCATATACGAGAATGGAGGGCGCGCCTACGTTCCGCGCCTTGAGTTGGACCTGATTCTCATGCACATAATTGACGTGGAGTTTGGTGCTATCAGCACTAGTACCTTGTATGGTGTTGAACCGAGGCGAAAACTTATGAACATTGCGTCGGTACGTGAGAGCTGTCTGCAAGCTACTCTCGTTGGTTCTGATTGCCCCATGTTTCACGTCGCTCAACTTACCTTGCCCTTTTCCGTCACCCTCTGTCTTTCTCAGCAATTTCATGCCGTGGCTCCTTTCTTTCCCTTGGAATTCCCAACGTTATCACAAATACTGACGCTCAAGATTTTTCAATGGTCCCAAGAACAATCAACAAAAGTGCCACCTCTGCGAGCCTCCGAACGACTCGTTGACGCCCTGCTTGACGACTCCCATATTGAATACAAAACAATCATGTCAGGGACAACAACCATCTTTACGTTTTCTGGTGCAGGAGCACAGTTCATGCGTGAAGGAAATCCATGGATGAGCGACTGGCAAGCTTCAGTATGGCGATGTTTCTGGAAGAAGAACAACTTTTGGTACGAGGAAGAAGACAACAACCCACAAGATGAAGGCATGATTGCTGTTCTGGACTGCAAAAAGCGGGTTCGTCAGGCAATGGTTATGATGTGTCCTGAAGCAGCTGTAGTCGGTCCAAAGCAAGACGTGCTATCACATCCCGTCGTGATTGCAGATCGGGCAGCCTGCAGTGAAGCTTGTCGCTTTGAGCTTTAGCTGACAAAGATGGGGGTGGGCCAATAGCCTAGCTAGCCAGAAGTATCAAAGAAATTGAAAAAACTGCCGCATGTCTCAAGCACTACGTAGTACTATCTGGCTAGCCAGTGCATGTGGCTTCAGCGGTGGTACTAGACTATTGTTTGGCATCATGCGTACATACATGTAGTTTGGTTTCCCAGCTGACGCGATTGCAATACATGTCTTGGCTTCCGAGCTTTGGCTGGTGCCTCTTTTACGCGTTACCAAAGTACGAGTATGGCGTAGACATGCACGTCTTTGGGGCGAGCACGCATATTGACTCGACTCGTGATGGAACAACATCATGATCAGAGCACTACTAGCCAGTATCAACCTCGTTCGACACACACCACAGCTATAATGTACGGCAAAGCTAGCTAGCCATCCCTATGAGTTTACCGGTACAATCGTTATCGTGGTTGCCCTCCACGGACTCCACTAATCTCATCGAATTGAATTCCTTCGGAAGGACGCCTCTCACTTCCATTCCAGCACTTATTTGCTTCCTTAGTAAGGATAGTGACTTCTTCCCCCAGCCGCCGGTGGTGGTGGAGGAGGAGGGTTACCAAGCCCTCCTCCCTGAGCTTGTTGTTGTGGTTGCTGCTGTTGTTGCCGCCTTTGTTGCAAAGCTCCTGCTGCTTCTTGTTGCGGGTGTGGTGCTGGTGCCCCTCTATCGTGATATCCCAACGGTGGCCGTTCTGCTACCTGCAATCTATCATATTCCGCAAGCGATTCAGTTTGTTGTGTCGGATACCCAGGGGCAGCATGGTGAGGCGGTTCAATTGGGAACACTGGAGGTAGGACTCGGCCGGTGCGTGGCCAAGCTGGTGCATGTGGCGGTATGTGTGGAGCAGCCATGTTGGGATTGTAGCGTTCATACGACATGTATGAAGCCGGGGAAGAGGCAGGAGGTGGAGGGTAAACAGAGGGAAAGGATGCTGAAGCGTAGAATGGTGGTGGTGGTGGGAGCTCTTGGGGCGCATAATACTCATAGGGACGGCTGGGATGAAAGGCACTTGGGTGGTACTGTAGTTCTGCTCCTGTATTGTAGCTCCCGTGCATCGTCGGAGGGTGAACTGGAGGTTGAGGTGGGAGCCGCGCCACCGCTGGCATGCTAGGTGGATTAGGCCCAGGTGGTGAAGCTTGCTGGGGAGGCGACGCTGGCCCCATTCCACGCATAGGCCGGCTTGTTCGTGGTGTGATATTTGTCGCCTGGGAAGAAGTCTCTCTCCTCTCTCCCCGAGGGCTTGCAATTGATGGCTGAGGACGCTCCTGCTGTTGTAAACTCCCGAGTGCCGCTGCAGCTGCCTGTTGGTCAGAGGTGCTACTCGACATGATGACTTGTCGAGGTGCGCCACGTTTGGCTTCCCAAACAAACCCGACCGCCTTGAGCTTTTCTATCCTGTCATCCGTCAAGCGAGATGCTTTCCCCTTCTGCAGCAGTTTATACTCCTGGCGCTGATAACACAAAGGCAACCACGAAGACATATGAGCACACACCCCGATCGCATTGGGACCTCAACATAATCCCCTTCCCACATACCTGCTTACTGACCCAATTTGACAGCGGTACATTCTCTTCCCACCCAATTGGCACTTGAGCGTGCCCATGTTTTGCCTATGCAATGCAATCAAGAAGGATGAATAGATCAGACGACAATCTTGCTACTACCAATTGGATCATTGGAGCAAGTTTCCAGGCAAAAAGACATACCACAAACTCCTGTAGTTGGCTGTAGCGAGTTTCCCAAGGCACCATCCGTGGGTCTTTGGCGCTCCATTCAAAACCCAGGTTCATCAACTTTTGTGCTCTTTGAACCGTCAATGCGGACGAAGTACTCCCCCCTGATGTCAAAACTCTGTACTGCCGCCGCTGTGTGGAAACTGTCTTGTAGGTTAGCAAAGCTTAAAGGCAATGGTGGAAGAAATATATATGCAGAACGAAGGGACGACTTACCCCAAAATCCTAGCTGCGGATCGGGTGGGTACCTGTTCTCAAAAGAACGACGTTAGCTTCGTGTTTGGGTATATTCAAGAACCAGGACCGAGCTTCTGGAATTCAATCTCAATATGCTCACCTATTGGGTACATTGCAATCCCCTTTGGCTTCTTTGTAAGCTCGCAACCTCTCATACATTTCATCCCATCTCTCCTGCAAGGTTGAGCCAGCTTCATCTGCTGGAGACGCTCGTTTTCGTTTCTTCGAAGAGGAGGATCGTGGTTTGGAGTCGCTGTTGCTTGCCTCACTCCCACCCTCGCTCCCAATGCTTGACCGTCGAGTAGAGCTACTGCCTCCCTCACTATTCGCACGACGGGGGGTCTTGTACCCTGAGTCCTCATCATCCTTTTGACTTGCTTCCATTACCTCATTAGAATATCTCATCAGAGCGACCTAAATACATGGTCTGCAACCCATCAAATCCACGTATTACATGTACATCAAAGTCGAGCCAATAATGAGGAGTGATATGGGAAGGTATTAGCCGTTGTTGTTGCTTTGTTGTACGCCGATACAAAATGGTGGCAGAAACCAAAGCGGTGCGTGGAGGCGAAGCCAAATCCAGCAGTCACGCGAATAATGAGGTTGTCTGCTGAAGGGTGGAAGGGACACCCCACGTGCTCGTAGAAATTCAATCTACAGAGATGAATATCGATATTTCCGGGCAGTTAGAGTCTCAACACGTGCTCAATGCATGCAGACAAGCCATTATTTACCGCTGCTGTTCTTTTGTTTCTAAGATTCTGCTGGGCCGGCGGTGGCTTCAACAGAACGCAGAACCATCCAAATAACGCTTCCGATCATGCGAGTCGTGCATTTGTATCCAGCGGTAAACTGTGCCCAAAGGTAAAAACACATTTGATCCTCTCAAGCCTGCTTCTTGGGGCCAGCAGTAACTGCTCCCGGTACAGAGCAGTCAGCTACTAGCTACTGTAGAGGGAACTGAAGACGGGTACCGGTAGGTGACGATGAAACTTAACAGAAAAGACAGATTGGAGTTCCAAAGTAGTTTCTGTATTGAGGCGCCGGAACGAGGCATCTGCTGAGGAGTCGAGTGTACAATATTGCAAGGATTTGGTAATGTATTGGTGTGTAACGTATGTGGAGACCCATGATATGACGCGATATGCTTTCCATCATCTTTGGCCCCAGTGCAATCCTTCAAGAAGCTGCGAACGCTCACTTATGAAATAATGAGGATCATTGATGCATCACATCCCAAGCATCACATCCCAAACTTGGGCCTCCTTTGTTCCTGATCCCACACCCACCCTGCAGCCATACCGGTACCGGTATCCTGAGTTTCGCTCTTGCCCTTTAACATTGACCCACAGCCAGGCACGGGTGTATTACTAGTGTAGCAACTCCAGGAGTAAGGGTGTTACCCTTTTAGCATTGGGGTGTAAAGTTGTACAGTACTGAGTACCCAGATTGGGGTCACATCGAGCCTGCCTGAAGGGCTTATGTGACAGCATACTTTTATACAACATGAATATAATATAAACTCTGGTTCATTTGAGATCCGATAGTGACCAAAATTTCCGTGTATGCATTTTGGAACGATTGGTCGGCTATGCATGCAGGACCTGTCCGTCCTGTACCGGTTTCACACCGTGATTGATTGAATCCTAAATCGAATGACGATAAGTATCCGGAAAGTGGCGACGTCGTAACTCCCAACAATGCCATCACAAGCATTGTCCTCTTTCGTCCTCGAGCTTGCCAGAATCTGATGAGGCCCACTGTCTCCTCCTCATGGCCACAGCAATGGTCTGTGTGGGAACAAACAGGCCCGCACCGGTATGACAGAGGGGGGCTCAATCACTGATGCAACAATCATCGTCGGAGTGCAATCAATGTCCACCTCCTAATCGTTTGCTTTGGTGGCAAGCGTCCATATCGAGATGCTGATCCGCTGATCCTCCCACCACCCTTGGAATCCTACACACCTGCTGCCTGCGGTCGTACCCATTCTATACCGGCTCATTATAGATTTTTTAAAAGGACAAACATCTTCTGCTCTCCTGACTTGTTCCACTGACGGCCGGCACTGGCTCGTCATCAGAAATTAATGCCCGATACTATGAAGAGTAAAAGTTGCTTGTCCAGCAACGTTGGAAAAACAGCCAAATAATTCTCTCTCGTCCATGGAACTGGTGGAAGAAACCTTTCCATCTCCAAATTGCCGTCTTCCAGTAAGCCTAGCTTACACCATGATGAAGCTGAAGCTGCTTGCCTGAAAGTCACCACAGAGGCAGATGACATGCCAAACAAGACATAGACGAGCTGGAGCGATGTACATGCATTGGTGTTCCTGTCGCACGCTGCACAGCTCGCTCCTGAACGCGGAGAAACATCGTCTCTTCCTCTCCCACACATCAGAGAAACTTCCCGACTTCCAGGTCTCACAAACGCACAAGCGCACAAGGGCTTCTGGCTACTCGGAGTAGCTCGCGCAAGTTGCTTATAGTACCGAGTACTGTATCTTCAACTACATGTAGACTACGCCTTCGTAGCTACACGAGGATGAGGAAGAGCAGCTTCTAAGCCTTTGGGCAATCAAGATCAACATGTTCAGGCAGGGTACATTCTCGTTGTCTCTGACTTCAAATAATCATGACTGCTACGGTGCTGGGAACTAATTGCTTCTACCCCATTCGACCACCGAGACCGTGTGCGTGGACCTGAAACCTGAAGGAACACGAGGAAGAGAAGCCTTTTATTAAGCTCTCCAGTCGTGATCAATATGCCCGATGTCGATGCAGCTGGCTTCTTGAAATAAAATCATGACTGCTGGAGCTGGCAACTGGCAACCAGCTTTCTTTGGTGCTTTGGTCTTTGGTCTTTGGTGGGCCTTTGCATTCGGTACGGCTTTGACCACTGACCACCCAAAAATAAATAATACTACTCAACAGAGTAGATCTAGTCTAATGTTGTGCTATCGTCACCAGCTCATCACTGCGAGTATGTATGATACGTGCGAATGTGGTTCCAATAATAGGTGAGAGCCACACCCCGACACTGTTGGACTGTACTGTAACAATTTCGATAGTCACCGAGAGACCGAGAGTTCCAGTAGCCGAACAACAATGGAAACATCGGGATGATTCGGGATTAACTGCTGGTCAAAGCAGTGCTAGAGTACAGGTTTTTACTTAAGCCTCTGCTTTGATGTTTTAATTCCTGTCGAGCTGAGCGACCCCCTTATGCGACGCAACCTTCACCTGAAGGTTGAAGTTGCAGAAGTTCTCACTTGAAACTAAGTCTTGAAACCCTTGCTATCATAGATCTGATGTACTATTACATGTAATACCGGTACTCTGGAGTACCTGGAACCTGGAGAGCTCCTGCCTGGAGAATGCATGTATGACCAAGACTTAGTTGTATGTACTGTAGTATCGTATTTAAGTATGTCTCTGCTGGTACCGGTACGGCAGGTACTCCGCTGCCTGTACAATGTCATGTACATGCAAATAATCTGTGCCCCACCGAAGTTTCGCCGCTAAAACCGGCAGAAAGAGCCGCATACCGTAGGACATCGACAGGAGCCCGATGACGTGGAAGCTGAGAGCTCAGCCCTCTTGGCTCTGATGCACACTCAATTCTCACAAAACCTTCGGACCAAAAAAAAACTCCACACTTTTAAAATCTCTACATTCGATTTCGAGGACTTTTATTACACCATGGGACTTCTTGACTCTGACAGCGAAGGCAGCTACAGCGAGGATGAGGTCTCCTTTGAAGGCGACAGTGGCGCCTTTGGAATGCCAACTCTCAAGCGGGGTGTTTCTGGAGCGAGCACCAACAGTACCATATCGGTAACGGAAGGCACTTTGGAGGAGCGACTGAGTGCTGTGATGAATCTCAAGACCGACCTGGGCGTGGACGATGATCCCGACATCCGTGCCAGACAAGAGCACAAAGATGCTCTCCTGAGGGCTCAAGAAGAGGAGCGCAAAAAGCTTGCAGCCATGACCACCAATGAGAGGATTGCCTATCAAAAGGATAGTGTTGGCAGTATGATGGACAAGATCCGAACTACAAGGGCAAGATCAAAGTCGCCCGTTAGGCCAAGTACGGGGAAGCGTAATGGCATGAATGACAGCAGTCACTCCAGTGGAGGAAAGATGAATGACAGCAGCCGTGTCAGTGCCGGCAATTTGAGTACATCCATGCATAGTCTCAGTGATGACGAGGCCGACGAGTTTCTGAAGCTCAGGGAAAAGAAGAACAGAAGGAAGAAGAGAGCAGGCAAAAAGCCCGTCAATAAGAAGGCTGGAGCTCCTGCTGCTCCTGTAAAGGCCTAGATGGCTGCTGGATCGGGTCTGCTGGTATCGTCAACCAGAGAGATCCACAAGAGACAACCGAACCGACTACACAAACAACAGAGTTACAGTGAAGTGCACCACACGGACGGAGTTACTGAATGTGCTAACGGATAGCAAACAATGTATATTTTAGGAAAGATAATCAACAAGAATCCAAACCATTCTGAGCTGCCAGCATCCTGGGCCTCTCCAAGTACTGATTAGCAGAAGGATGGGGAAACAACACGAGAGACAGATTTCCCGTGGTGCCCTGTACATAAGCGGTGAGGGTTCTCCTCGCCGAGTCCGTCTTCGTGCGTGCCTACTTGGCATCCATTGTTGTGGTAGCGGTGGCACGAATTCGAGTAGCCTCGTTTTGTTTCCTGAGTAGGTCTTCCCATCCCAATGCTCGGCAGATGGCCAAGATGCTGTCATCGCAATCTCCGGCTTGAAACAAATCCCTTGACTTCTCGTTTGGGTGGCTACCGGTTCCAATGGCCAAGTTTCCCACCAACTCTCGATTCAGAAGGACTCGGCGACAGCTTGATGGAACCCAATCAGGAATCAAAGAAACGGGGACTACCGTACGCGAAGAAGAAAAAAATGTAAGAAACCAAGTTTGATGTAGGTACTTGAGTAGATAGATCTTTACGTACCGACTTGAAGACTTGTCCCCAGGATAAGCATGAGACTCGCCCTTGGAAGATCGTTCTGTATGAGCAAGTTCAGTCTGGGAGGAAGCGCCTCTCCAAAGAATACGATGTCTGGCTTGACATGACCAATATGACATTGCTCGCACATGGGAGTTCCTTGCTGTTGCAGAATGGATTCCTTTACTTTTTCAATGTCTGCGGGTGAACCGCACCGAATGCAGCTAGCAGACCGAAAATGGCCGTGACATTCCATAATTTTGTCTGAGCTCATGCCTCCCAAGAACTCCAAGCCGTCAATGTTTTGTGTATAGCATCTGAGTAAAAGGTTATTTTGTTCCAACAAAGCCAGAAAAGAATGAGTCAAGGTTGGAGAGTGCTGTTCTTGCACACCAGGCCAAATCTCTTTGGCAAGAGACAAGAACGCCTGGGGGCGCTGACGGTAATAGTCGAGATCAAAGACCGCCTCAGGATAGGGAAGATTGTACTTTTGCAAGTTGTCATACAGACCGGTGCCGGGAGACCTAAAATCAGGAATTCCAGCAGCCACAGAAACACCTGCGCCACACAAGACTATTATTTTGGGCAGTCCTTGCTTTTCCAAGTCTTGAATCCATTTCGCCACTGTGCGCACTGTTTCAGAATGGATTCCATCGTTTTGTTTGCCTGATGACGCTGACTTGCTGTGGGAGCTCAAGTTGCAGCGTTGGAGTTGAATGCCCGAACGAATCCATGGTGTCAACAGCTTGGATACCACAGGTACGGTGTGATAGGAGCAGCATCCTCCGCCAGGTGTTCCAATGGAGCGAACTTGACGGCTACATCTTGCTGGTGCAGAAAAGTAGTAAACCTTATTAAAGAGTTGAATTCGTTGGATGCCCATGGCCCAAGGCCTAGTAGAGTAGCTGATGTTGCTTCGATGTGCCACAATAAAGGCAAAGCGATCTTTTCAGCTGGGTCAGGATCTTTGGATCTTCGATTCGATTGGATTCGAAACGGCTCAGCACGTAATCGAAACGGCTCATGGCATACCGGTACATCGTAACCAAAAGGGCTCATGGAATCGAACCATCAATCCTGTTTGTGCTCGCTTCAATGGATGCTACCGTACCGGTACCAGTAGCTAGCTAGTACGACTACAACTACTATAAAGAATGAAGCCATGATTTTTGTTTGTAAAGATTGTCTACTATGTGTTAGTGTGTTTATGTTGTTTGGTTGTATTTAAGATTGTAGCATAGCATCCGAAATGATAGAGGTTGGTTGTCAGGTGTCACGGGTATTAACTTTGGACTTTCGTCGCGTGGAGGACGTTCGGACAAGCACTCTGCAATAGAGGCTGCCTAGCACAGGAACCACAAACCTGGCTACCTTTTATGTGACCCTTCCATTGAACCAACTGTATTCATCTCTGCAAAAAAATTGTTGTATAGCCCTGCACCCCACCAGATGCTTGCTCTTTGTGTATGTATTCATGTGTTAGTAATCCCCACAATCCGTCGTCGCCGCCCCAACTTACCTGTTGTCCTAGACTGGAATGTACCGGTCAGGCATTCTTACTCGCCGCCCAGAACGACTTGTTGTCTGAACTGTCGTTTGCTGCTGTGTGTCCGTCACAGGTCTTGTTGTTGTCGTCTTCTTGCCCTTCGCCTTTGGCTTTGTCGACTTCTTGCCCTTCGCCGTTGGCTTTGTTGACTTCTTGGCTGCCACTCGTCTACATTTATCATTTCTAGGTTGTTCTGCCACCCGCCGCGGCTGTGTCTTGATTTGCTCTGCAATTCTCTGAGATGCAATCGCCGCCATGCGTCTCTTTGACCGCCGCAACGTTGATTGTGCTGTGTCCACATTGTCCTCCTCGTCGACTCGGTTGTCGACCAGTGGTTCATCAGCATCAAGTTGTTGTTGTTCTTCGACCAGTGGTTCTTCACCTACCACTTGGCCAGTCATGAATTCGTAATCCGTATTGTCTGAGGCAATGCCTGCCTCCAATTGTAGTGTCTTGTGCCGCCGCATTATTTCCTTGACAAAAACTCCACCATCCTTCATCAAGGCTGCGAGAATGTCGTTGGGTACCACTCCAAGTAGCACACCATTCATCATTAGCATCTCCAATACAAATGGTTGTTGTTGTCCATGCGCACTGATCTTGAAGTGTTTCACGTGCCACTTTTGAACGTATGGGACCACTGCTGTGCATGTTGGAACCACCACTGCTTCGTGTGTGATGATGGCATCGGATGCCATCTTGTCGTCGTCGACGGTCGACACTGTTTCTATTGTCTCAATGTCTTTAGTTGCTGTTGGTTGTTGATCTACTTCTACTGGTGCTGCATCTTCCATGCAGACATCCTTGACCTTGCGATAGACAAATCGTCGTTTGGCAATCTGTTCTCGTGTATTCAAGGTGCAAATTTCGTTGTCAGCGTTGCGCTGAATTCCTCCGTGATGCAAGTGGCACATGGCGAGTTCGAACATGTAAGGGTTCTTTTCGTTGACCATGAACCAGTGGGCGACTTGCTTGTCATTTCCTTTCTTCGCCTGGATGAAACGAACAAGTCCCTCGAGGTCTTGATGCACGGCATCAATTTGAATGTACAGTTTCGCTTTTTGTAGGTACACTTTGTCGCTTTGGAACCATTGGTTGTTGGTGATCCATTTGGCCACTTGTTGGTATCCGTACTCTTGAATCAACTGCACGAGATCCAAGACGCGTTCGTGGGGTGTGGGTGTGCCGACGGAAATGAATTGTTGTTGGGCTTCGTGCCAGAATTCGAATCGGGCCTGTGGCACATGTTTCTTCATGTCTCGATAGACACGACGGTTCTCAGCTTGTTCGCTCTCATCAGAAGAGTACCCCACTACAGTGTTGACGGGAGCAAAGGATAAACGGTTTCCATTGCTCCGTTCGGTGTCTTGACCGTAATGGGTCTTCCAGCGAGCGTTGGCTGAATGACTGGGGTGGATGCGACAGCCTTTGGGCCGGTGCTGGTTGTATTTGTCGTATCCGTAGTGACCATGCTGATCCGCAGGAACCAGGGAAAGGTCGTAGGCACCTAGGTAGCGACCGTGCTGCTGGAACTCCACATCAGGATTCGTTCCATTCGTGTGCAACAGTGCCGCGGTTTCGACAAATGTCTTGTCCAACTCGTCCAGTTGGAACGTTGGGACTTCCTCTGCTGCAGGAACATCTTTGTTGTTGTTGTTGTTGCCCGTCATCTCCTTGGCGACCTGGAGAACGGGGGTCTTCTTGGTGTTGCTGTTGTTGTTGTCGGTGGTCCATGTGGACCACGAGAGCAGCTTGATGATAGAAGAAGAGATCTTCATTTTGCAATTGATAGGTATTGAATAGAAGATTGATAGGAAAGGTAATTGAAAGTAGGGGGGGTTGATCTGGCCTAGGCTTATCAACAATCGCAAATCTTCCTTGTTCGGTTGGGTATGCAACTCTAGCAATCCGGTTGAACAAAAAAGTGAGCTCATCATGGTGACATCCCATTTTTCGACCCCCAAAAATCAGATGACAGATTCTGCCAGATGGAAAACGACATATGATGAGACGAGACTGAGCCACTGATGAGCACTGATTTCATGCTCTATACTACCAAACAACACACTTCCTGGGCCTCACTGAGCTTGGTTAGTGTTGTTGTCTATGATTGCTTGCTCCCTTGGTTGGTGTTGTTATGATTGCTTGCTCGTCGGTGTTGTTGTTGCGGTGGTGCTGCGGAGGCGTTGATGCTGCCGGAGAATCGAAACGGCTTTTTGCCGGGACCCAGAAAGACAAGAAAGGTAGATCTGGTAATTATAGGGTTGAAGTTGTTGATTACTTTTCCAATGAGAACAGAATGTTTGTACAGTATTACCGCATCTACCTGAGCATAAAGTTGTAGGCACACCTTAGAGGGACGCTCAGTTCCTCGATGCTGCACCCAGGCAACGGCAAAACCACCAAGAACCACAACCATCGACGCAAACAATGCTCTTGTTGATGCTCTTGACTAATTATTGATCGTCATACGGTACCACCATGGAAGACACCAAGAAAGCAGCATCAAAGAAGACTGCAACTGCTGCTGCCACTGGAAAGAAGAAGCGTGCCAATTCGCGCCCAGCACAAGAAGGAAAGAGTGCCAAGAAGAAGAAGAAAGATGCCGAAGTTGCCGTAGCGGTTCCAGCCGTCGCCACTGCTGCTACTGCTGCTGCTGGCGGTAAAAAGAGGAAAAAGAATGCCGCTCCTGCCGGTGCCACTCCGAGCAATCTTCCCATGGCGTCTCTGCCAGTCAGTGCTACCACAAGCAGTGCGGCTCCATCTGATGCGGTGGGTCCGTCAGCTTCGATTTCTACACCCAATGCTACAGTGGACCTGGAGTTGAAAACAAAACCTTTGGTGGATCAAGTACTGTATCGGCTGACGGAGGGAGTGCCGAGAATGGAACTCAAGACAATGGACAAGGAAGCTGACGAATGTGAGCGGGAGTTGCTGAGGGAAATCCAAATGATGGAAGCTTCGTTAGAGAACTTGCAAGAGGGAAAAGCGGGGCTTGGTCTTCCTCTTGACGACACAGCAGGCGATGGGGACAAGAAAGAAGCAGCATCTACAAAGAAAAAGGCAAAGAGTAAAGCAGAAAAGGGGAATTTGGAGGCTTTGGGGATGACTCCAGAAGAACTCGACCAACAAGTGGACATCATATTGGACAATCCACTAACGCCTCTGGATAAATACTACACTCTATCAGCGCTGGTGGGAAGACTTCGAGATGACTTGGCTGTGCCATCGACTCGAGCGCCCTCTGCAGCAGTATTGGCAGCGACGACAGCTGCTGGAAATAAAAAGAAAAAAGCCAACAGCATTCCTGCACCCACGTACTCTCAACTCATGGCCATGGCAAACGACAATCCAAATTTCACAATGATCCATCCCGATCCACCCACACAACTGTTGCAGGTGTGGCGGAAAATTGCAAGTCACCGGACTTCGACAGTGTTTCGAAAACCCGTAAAGCCAGAAGATGCGCCGGGGTATGCAGAGAGAATACTCTTTCCAATGGACCTCAGTCTGGTTCGAAAAATGATTGTGGCAAAAATACTCACGTCCTATTCGGACGTTCATCAGAAGATTCGATTGATTTGTCACAAGTAAGTTCTCGTTTTCCTGTTTTGCTTTTGGTTGAGCAGCTAACATATTGTCTCACGTTCGATAATCTATTCCTTGAAATCTTGCTTCATTTTGCCAACAGTTGTGTCAAGTACAATGGCAGGTGCGTTTTGCGTTGACTCGGTTTTTTTCTTTCTTCCTTTTTCATTTCTGTCCTCCCCAACATCCAATTGCTCCGAAATGCACAGAGAAAGCGACTATGGCGTTGTAGCCCGGGATTTTGAGGCTTGTGTGGACGAATACATATATAATGCCGTGCAACAACCTGTGGCACAGGGATCGGCACCCACTGGTAAGCTTCAGGCGCTCAAGGCTGTCGCTAGTGGAAGGGCGTCACCAAAGAATTTCACGAGCGGTCGAGCGTCGCCCAAAACGATTGGCATGACCAGTGGGAGAGCATCACCGAAACTTGGCATGGGGAGACTTCCTACCAACAAGAAATTGGCACCAGCCACAGCCACAGCTCCATCGTCTGCTGCTGTATCTATGGCAGCAGCAGCTGCCGGTAAGTACTAGTCGTGAAAGTTGCTGCTGGGAGAAATATAACACTAGAGTCTCACCTTGTTTTCCAAGCAGCCGCTGCCGCCGCTGCGAAGCCTCCACCAGCACCCAAGACAACAGGGAAGAAGACAAAGTAATAGTTCATGAAACTAAAGGAAAGTACAAAATGCAGCGTACCAATTCCAAAACTATATAGGATTGTCTTACATCTATTCTACTGAACAGTATTCATATCAACATGGCTTGATTTTGCTGTCCCCCAAAGCAAATAGCCAAGCCATCATTCACATTTAGTCGCCATTTTGTTTCATATTTCCGTCCTGGGACGACTGTCCCGTGCCGAGTTATTGAAGACATTGCTTAGGACACAAATGAGGAAAGATCAACCACGCACGCAGTAATATCGTCGTGCTTGGATCGTCTCGCACGGCCCTGTGGAAGCGACATCAACGCCTGCAAACTCGAGATGTTTCGAGCCCTTCGCACTTTGTTGAGGACTCGTCGTACAATGACATCGGCGACCGATGAACTGCGGGACCATCCGCACTGGACAGCGTTGCCCCGACGACCGCCCCTCTTGCGTCGCTTGTTGCTTGGGGGGCTTGGGCTGCGAGGCTCCACTGCACCACGCTTCCGGCTCCTGCTGCGCCCAGAGTAATCCAAATCCAATTCCAACGATTTCGTGTCCATCTTTTGATTTTGATCATCCTGACGTTCCTGCTCTTGCTCCAGTTCCAAAGAGCCCTTGACAACGCTGTTGTTGCCACTGCTGTTCAAGAGAGTGTTTCCATTGCTACTAGCCGGTGCTAAGCGAATGTCATAATAGTTCGGAGACAAGATGACCGATGTCGGCACGTCTTTGGCAAACGACTGCTTGCCTTCCTTCAGTCTGCGAATCTTTCGCCTCTCTGCTTCGGCAATACGTTCCGTATAGAAATTTCTCACCCATCTCAAGGCATCGTCGCCACTGGCTCGTTCCCAAACTCCATCCGTGGCAAGGATCAGCACTTTGTCGGATGTCGACGACACAGGACGGCAATTGACCTCTGGTCGTGCCGTGATGTAAGGCGCGTGACTCTTGTATGGCAGGAAGGAGAGTTTGGGAGTTTTCAGATAAGCGTCACCCAACGCTCGGGTCACCGCTAAGCTCCCAGCCACGCGTTTGATGCCACCTCCAACACCCGCCGATATAGCCCTGGGAGCGTTGTTGCATCGTCGAAGCACTGCTGTCACTTCGGCGGGATTGTAAGCAGAGTGATCCGTGGTGAGGTCAATCGGACGAGCCACTGGTGGAAGGTGAATTAGCCGCATGACATCGTCACTGTCTTGAGAAGAAGTGGATGAATCCGAGGGATCCTTTCCACTTTCTTGGGTTCCGCCGTTGTTATTGTTGTTGTTTGATGTCGGAGTGCCCGCGGCAGCAGCCGCGGCACTAGCCCCGTTGCTCGCAGAGGCCAACGCCCGCTGCTTTCGTCTCTCCCGTCGTTCCATGTCTGCAACTTCCAGCTCGATCATCGGCGCGGAATGGCAATGATAAATACTTTCGTTCTCTTCCAGTGGCGGCAGAGCAATGAAAGGCGCATTTGCCCCGGTATCATCCATGGTTCGACGGCGAGATCTTCTCGCGGGACGTTTCATATAGGTCATCAATGACGGAGTGCTCCCCGTTCCCGTCGTCGCGGAAGCGGATGCCTTGCGATTATTGTTGCTTCCCACGGACAGCTTTTCCACCTCCATGATTTCGTCATCGTCGCTACTGTCCGCGTCGTGGTCACTACTACTGAGACACTCTGTTTCATCACTACTGTGATGGCTGGATTCGTCGTCCGTGGTGTCGGGGTGATCGGCAAAAGAGTCTCGCACTTTGATGGTTCGTGGAGGCGCCGATCCCAACATCACGGCTCTGCAGTCTCCCACATGAGCCGTGTAGAGAATGGCGTCGTGAGCACGGTAACAGTGACAGGAGCATCCTCCCGGAGCACTAATAAGTGATTCCTTCGGGATGGTGTTGACGGCGTCCGTAGATTTCCGAGCTGGATATCGCCTGCCTAGACCAGCACGGCCTTTCGATTGGCTGACATCGTCTTCTCCTTCGGTTTCTGTAATTTCCGATTCGAGACCCGATGCATGAACAGCTTCTTCGGTGGTCAGCGAGGAAGTTGACGACACGGTGCTCATGGAACTGGCGCTCTTGGCCCTGGAAGCAAAATCCAGCATTCGTCGTCGTGCAGCATCACGATTTTGGGACGTATCGTGTCCTCGACTTTTTCCAGGACCACCGCGCACTTTTTCTCGATCGTCGGGACCATTTCCCGAAATATCCGTCCAATCCAACCGCTGAATCGTAAAGACCACCAACGCACATGCCCCCGAATTCCATCGGCCATTGCTTTGACACGAGGTTTGGTGGGTAGCGACAGGGTCAATGGAATTAATCCAACCTTCATCGACGGCCAAGAATGATTCGGTAATTGCCTGTGTAATGGCGGCCACTTCCCTTGGAGAATGAGTTCCTACTCGAGCCTCTTGGTGCTTTTCGGATGCTGCCGTTTTTACAGAAGTTTTCACGGAGCTAACCGAGGCACTGCCCGGGTGTGGAGACGCGGACCCTGATGCCTGAAGAAGTGGAACCCCCCGTTTGCTGTCGGCGTCGTTATTGTCGCTACTCATTGTCTTGTTGTCTTCTTCATCTGTAGCGGGTAATGATCGTCGGCGCGACCCTGCGGCCTGAATCAGTGGAACCCCCATTTTGCTGTCGCCGTCATTATTGTCGCTACTCATTGGATGGTTGTCTTCTTCATCTGTACCAGCGGGTAGTGACCGTCGGCGCGACGCTGCGGTCTGAAGCACCCCCCGTTTGCTGTCGCCGTCGTTGTTGTCACTACTCATTGGATTGTTGTCTTCTTCGTCCGTAGCGGGCGGTGATCGGTTCGGAGGGGGAGGTGGTGCGCTATTGTTGGCTGTCGTCACGGCATCCATTATTTCGTCTTCCTCTTCACTGTCCGAGCGTTCAAACGGCGATCGATAGTGAATAGAATTTGGGTTTCCCAGAGATCCTCGATCGGACGTTTTGATGAGTCCATCGAGGTCTAACGCATTGGCATCTCGCAATTGACCATTGACCGTACAGACTCCTCGATCGACAATGGCACACCCGAGTGCTCTTGAAATGGATGCAGCAATATGTGGCAAGAGTACCTCCGAAGCGTACGTCGCCACACATCCTCCTCCGTGACCATCAATGACGGACCACAGACTGAGACGAATGAGCGTACTGTAGTCCGGTTCGAGCGGTGGTAATTGTGTTTCGGAATCAAAGTTGGGTGGCAATGGTTGTAGCAATACATTGACGAGCGAAGAGCTTCGATCTTCCGAAGGGCAATTTGCGGCGTGTGTGGATGTCCACATGCAATTTTCTGGGTTTGAGAATTTGGGGAGTGACATGGGTCGATGAACATCGCTGTGTTGCGATGCCACAGTGGGTCCCTCTGTAGCGGGTTGCGCTGCTAAAATTTTGATGGCGCTTAAAACAGGAGGCGATGGTTGCGAAGCGGAATTTCCTTCTCCTCTGACACTGTTAGCAGCGGCCACGCCAGTATTGGAAGTTGGCGTGCTGCTGTGGTCTTGACTCATACTAGTGGTACTGCGATCGACAACTTTCAATCGTACATCCTTGGTTGTCGAAGAGGAGGATGTGCTCGTAATAAAGGTAGTAGATTTTTTCTTTTTCTTTTTGGCGGGACGTCGTCCAGTAGTGGAAGTGGAGCAGATTGTTGACGAGTCCGTTCTGGCCGGCACGACGGCCACCTTGCTTGGAAGTGGATTGTGGTTGTTTTCGATTTCTTCAATGTTTCTTGCCGTGGTCTCGATACTGGAGCAGGATCCCTCACATTCACTCAACTCCGCAACGGAAACTTCTTCGCTGACATCTTCGAATTCTGCCACACTCTCCTCCTGCAACAAGTAAAATAACATATAGACAGAGCAAGACAAATGGATGAGAACAAACATGCATCATTCGAGATCGTCAGCTCATCAATCGATTGATTTTTGAAAATTTCGTGACAAACAAACAAACAAACTTACCTCTGATGATGCCAGTGCTCCCCTGCTGGGCGAAGAAGGGAGCGATAGAGAAGGCAAAGAGCCTGGAGTAGTACTATTGTTGGCTGCTAAATGTCTTCGATGCAATGGCACCACAGGAGCCGCCGCTTCTTCCATGATGGTATTTGGAGAAGGAGCTGTACAAGTGGTTTGATCGCTTTCACAGCCCAAGCTTGCTTCACGGCGATGGTGAAGCGGCAGCACAGGTGGAGCACTACTAGATTCACCGCCTCCGCTCACACGGCGGTTGTCGTTGGTTTCACTGCCGCTGCTGTTGTTCGTCGTGTGAGTAGTAGCAGTTGTTGTTGTTGTTGTAGTCACGCGTCGTCGAGCGACCGCCGGAACATTGATCGAGTCTCCCGCTAATGTGGATTCACTCGTATCGCCTCCATCGGTGCTGCGTTGTTCGCTGCCTGTG